TTAAGTAATTGAGATTGTTTTACAGTTATAGGAGGTAGTTGTGAGAGGAAAAAATATTGTACTTGGTAAGTTAATTATTTACTAAACAGTATATTATATTTGGGTGCCCTTGGATAGCACTCAGTTAGCACTTGAGATATCCGAGGAGCAGTGTGTCTAGGGAATGAATGTAAAGATTCCTCTGGAAAACTCTGCCTGCTCTTGTCTTGCATGTGCAGCCATGAAAGAAATGGTAGAAATTACAAGTGATATTTAGTGTAACACTTTGTGAGAAGAACTGCAAGAGGCTGAGTGTTTCCAGAGTGAAAGGCTCCAGGGAAATGAGGGCTTTCCATTTGTGTGTCCCCCCAAAATCCCCCTCGTGTCCCCATGGACTGTCTGAAGTTGAGACCTGGTGTTTGAGATCAGTGGAAATACTTCTGTGCTCCTTGTGCTCAACACCCATTCTGCCTTTGGGGGAGCCTGGTAATAAAATGTTCTCTAACTTGTTGGGAATATTCCCCTGGATTTTCACCCATTTGCTGTACTGCTGGGAGTGTTGATTCACAGTGTTACACTTTTTGCATTCATGTATTCAACTTTAGACTCCTCCTTTCTGTCTCATCTCCTTCCCATTATCTTACTTAGTCTTCACTCTGCTGCTTAATATCTTCTACTCTGTGCTCCTCTTTCTTGACAAAATTCTTTTATTTTCCCTGCTTGAGCTTTGCATCTCCCCAAAAGATTTCTGAAGTTTCAGTTTAAATTACATGGTAAATGTAAAATTTAAATGAAATTTAAAATTTAATTTAAATTTTTGCACAAGATCCTTTATTTTCACGTATCAATGAGCTATTTCATCTGAATCTCTTGGTGTTCTGTTTCTTTAAAATCCGTGTTATATTATTTCTTACAGTACAATATAAATTGTACTGATTTGACCAAATAATTTAAGCAACTTGTGTAAGACCAAAGTAAAACAAGAAAAACAAAGCTTTCCTGTAAGTTGAAATAAATAGGATTGTTCATCCAATTATCTCATCTCTGTTCAACAGCAGCAGCTTCTTAAACTGTTTGGATTTGTTCTGTAGGACACATCTGTTTACACAGATATTACACATGTTAAAGGAGTACAATAACTTAGCCAAATCAGTTTATAAATTGTGTAGTCTATTGATACAATAATCTCCTGGAGATGAGGCTTCAGGGGTGTCTGATGGGGAACAAGAGTGGACATGAGAGTGATGTTTGAGTGGTGACATTGCCTTAATTTTCCATAAATGCTGCTTTTAAACAGCTGGCATTTTCCTCCCTGACGTGGTGTTGCATTTCTCAGGTACAGACAGAATTCCATGATCAGGGGCTTAGTAACCAGGAAAGGTGTGTACAGAATCCACACATCTCCCTGCTGACCCTGCTTGATTTTTGGCAGAAGCCAAACCGCCAAGTTCCAGAGAGAGGCAGCTTCCAGAATTGAAAGCATTCCACTCAAACAAAATTTTTCCCCAAAAAAGTAAATCTAGGGACATTGTGTTTGAATGTTTCAACTGTACTAAATGAGAAAAAGGCAGGATCCACAAATTAGCGAGGAGACAGAATGTCTGAGGTTGGGGATGTTGGTGCTCCTGCAGGAGGATGTGAGAGTCCATCACTCATCTGTATTGCCCCACAGAACATGGTTTGAGTACATCAGGTGTGTAAATCGTGCTGAACTGGGAGTTTAGATTAAGGGCAGATGCTGAATTAGTGATTTTTACTAGTGATACTATCAAAATCATGATCCTCCTGAACTCTTTAAGTTTTATTTATTAAGGAACTATTTTTTTTAAATTACTGAAATAATTCAAGTTACAGATTTGAAACGCCAGAATTAATTTTTTTTCCCCTAACAAAAGTTCTCCCGTTTCTGTCGTTGTGTCTTCCTTACAAAGCAGCTGATGATCCTTTTGTTAGTGTTGACAAAACGAATATTTACAACATTTTGCTGAGGAGTGGAAATTACTCAGGGAGGGTGAATGATGCTTGTGCTTTTGGGGGCTTTTTTTTTTTTTTCCTGGTTCTTTTCCTTCTGCCTCTTCCCAGAAAAGCAGTGGCATTCCCCAAGGATCATGTCTGCAGCAGAGACAGAGCTGGGAGAGTTCCTGGTGTAAATGAGGCGTGTGGCTGAGTCCTGCCAGGGACGGCAGCGCTCCTGGAACGCTGCTGGGATCCCCAATCCCGGGCACCCAGGAGTCCCACTGACCTGCAGGTGCCTCTTGTCTGAGCCCTTTTGGAAATCCAGGGCATTTTTGTCTGGTTGGTAATTAGATCATGGCTTTCTTTTGTTGGTGTCTCTACTCAGACTCATTCAGAGGGTGGAGAGTTTTACTGCAGTGAAACAAATCCCAGGGCTCTGCTCCTTGTTGCCATGTTTTCCCCCGGCACCTTTCCAGAGGTGCACAAAACACATCAGGCAGAGCTAGAATTTGTTTCTCCTCTTAGCTTTTCCCCCTCAACTCCTGTTCCTGTCAAAAGAAACTAAGAAATACAAGGGCAGATTTCCATGTTACCTTATTTTTTACCCATCAGAGGAAGGATGCTGTGCTCTCTTAAGTATTTTGCAAGTTGGTAATTCTGGATTGGCTGCTTCTGTTGTGGTTAAAATCTGACTGCTGGGATTGCAAACAAGTCTTTAAGGACTGAGGTAAGATTTTAAGAACAATGATTCTAAGGGTTTGAGATGAATTTGCCTGAGCTCTTCAAAATTATTTTATTCCTGTATTTCTTGGATAATTGAGTTAATGCTTATATTGGAGTTTGCTTTACTCACACTTGAATATAATAACCACCTCTGCAGGTTTGAGATTAGTTAATCTTGGTAATGTTACTTTAAATTAAAGCTTTTTTAACGGACTATGTATTTAATACTGCAGGAGGGTAAAAAAATTGAGAATGGTACAGCAAATACAACAGCAAAGCTGGTGTTTCCCATCCTGATTTTGTTTACTGGAATACAATTTTATACTTGCTACCAATGTGAGAAACAGAAGGGATATATTTGAAATTGGTCTGAAAATTGATCCTTGACTACTGACTCTTGGTTTGAAAGTCTTCTGATGGCTGTTGATTTAAAGCTGTGTTGTTCCCCCCAGCCCAGTTGACCAGCCTGGTCTCTGTGAGTGGTGTCTGGTGATGACTTCATGGCACAGTAGTGGTTTTTCAGATGTTGAAAAATGGGCAAGATGGGAGGGTTAGGCCCTTTTGGAGTAGGGTGGAGAAATGAAATGGAATTTCTAGTGTATGAAAGTTATGCATTAGAAACATCCTGGCTGGTCTGAGAGGCTCCATCCACGCTGAACCAGGAAATGCAAATATTCCCAATAGCCTTTGTTTTCTTTAAGTTTCCCACGTGTTACTTCTGCTCCTTTCTCACTGAGCTGTGGCTGAAACCCTGATTTACACAGAGCCCTGATGGGGATGGTTCATCCTGTATCATTCACCTGTAACATGAACATAATATAACTAAAAAAACCTCCAACCAAACCCAACTATTTTTGCACCTCCTTATTCCATTTAACTGCTTCAAACACGAATCTCCAGAAAAGAAGACTTGCAGACCTTCCTGGGAGGATTTGCTACCTTCACTGCAGAAGTGGCAGCATAATTTCTTGCCTTTACCTCTTGCCAGGCGTGTCAGACACCCTGGACACATGAATAGGGAGGGTGACGTGTGTGGCACCGAGCCCATCGCCGGGCGAACCTGGGAAAGGGGAATGCACCAGTGTCTGGGAGGAGGAATTCAATGGCGTGGGGGGAGCTGGGGGTTTTGTTTTACTTTTGGCTTGGAGTGGAGTAAGGGAGGAGAAGTGGAAAAGGAAGCCTTTTGTTTACAGTAAAACAATACTGTGAAGTAGACATGGTGATGTAAAAGCAGGAGTCTAAACATGGCAAATCCAGGCAGGCTCCATCTGGCCCCGGCCATGAGTCCCCGAGACGTCCCCGGCACAGACTGTTGGAGTCTGGAGTCGCTGCCGTGTCGTCCTTCCTTACGGGAATTTAAAATAGCCTTGGAGACTCTGCCCCAGAATTTTATTATTGCATGAGAGGAATGATTTATTGGCTTAACCGTTTCTGTTCAGTGGTGCAGTGCATCTCTGTGAACCTGAGAAATGTGTGGTGTTTTCGGTTGGAATTTTAATCTCTGTGAGTTGTATCCCAGGCGAGCGATAAGGGTCTAGAATTCTAAATCTGCTCAAAGCACAACCTGTTCTTTTAGGCAGAATTTAATGGAGTGAATCTGTTGGAAAGAAAAAAATGTGCTGTTACTCTGTTAGTTTCTGGCATATTTTGCAGTGGTTTAAATGATATTGTGTTATTAAGGCATTTGTCACTTCTGGATATCCGTGTTGCTGTTTGAATGCAGGTTATTGTGGTTTTGTTTGTTTAGTCCCAGAGGAATAATCTTGGGTTGTTGAGACACAGATTTCTAGCTGACAATGCTTATAAGCAGGTGCATGTGATCCTTGGAAATGGGTTTCATTTTACATGCAGTATATTAAGGATTTAGTGTCTGGCTTGTGTTGGAAGTTGAACTTACAGAAATGTGTTTATGGGACAATTTAGAATTTTAACAATTATTAAAGGAAATTCTTGTTAAAAGTTCTTTTCTAGTACTATGTTTATCCTAATGCATATTTTAATAGAGTTTATTTTAAAGCTGTCTACCTTGTGTTTGGACATAAGCCTAGCAGTGATGCTTTTATATGTCACTTAGAACTAGTGTTTGAATATTTTTTTTCAACCTGTTCATATTAAATAGCACTTTAAAAATCCATTAGTGCTTTTGAATTGTTCTAACACATATTCTTAGTAGAATTAGTACACGATTGTAAATTGGCATTAGGTTTAAATGGGATGTATAATTCTGAAAGAGAATTAGAAATTTGTTTCCTACCACTGAGAGGTCTAAATGTACCTGTGAGGTGGCTGTGCCTGTTGGAGAAGTTGCCATCCCTTCCAAGTTGTCCTGACTCCCACAGCACAGGGACAGAAAGGATCATGTTGTGAGGTTCCTAATTCACATCCAGCCTCTGTGCATGTGTTTTGTACTGACTCTGGTTTAGAGCTCGTTGGGTTATTCTGAATTTCTGGTGCTTTGGGAGCCTGGGGAAGAGCAGCTGTCCCTAAAACAGAGCAGCCTGGCAGCAGTTGTGTGTACACTTGCAAGAGAAATGCTTTTTTGTGGTTTAACTCTGCTCTTTGGGAAATAGAAAACCCGAATGTTTAAGGTGAAGATTGTGTCTCTGAAAGAGGATTAGAAATTAGAGATGTCTCTGAAAACCTGAGGGGTGTTAGCTGGTTATTTTGGTGTCCTGGGGGCAAAATCAAAACAGAGGCAAGAGGAAAAACTATCGGTCTGTATTAAAATGAAAATATTGGGGGGTGTACTTTGTTTTTAGAGCTGAAAAACAATGTAAAGGTATGGGGTGCACCTCTCCAGTGCAGCTGTGTGTTGCCATCAGAAGGGCAGAGTGGCTGATCCTCCCTCCTCTGCAGCTGCACAGGTTTGGGGATGGTGTGACTGCAGGGGAAGTCAGGCAGCTCTTGGAGCCAATGGCCAACTAATCCATCTCCCCAGAAGGTTAATTTTCTGTTAAGCCAGTTCAGCTTCCTGCTCTACCTTGGCATCCCTGGGATTGTGGACCTGCTTGGAGGGAGGAACAGCTGCAGCCCCGTTCCTGGGGGGTGCAATATGAAACCCATCCTGGTTGGGATAACGCTCAGCTGCTGCGTTCTGACCCGTTTCATGCTGCAAACCCTTCTTTACTCAAACCCCTGCACACCTGTAAAACACATATTTGTTAGGTTTACCTGTCTTTGTGTGCCCCTTCTTGACGATAATCCATTGCAATCTTCCAAAATGCAGGAATTTCATTAAGTGAAAGTAAACTTTTAGTTTATGATCGCGTCCTGTCGCTTGTTCTGTCCATCTGCAGAAAAAGCACCTTTCTAAGGAAATGAAACCTTAAAAAAAATGCTCAGAGAGATTAATTGTAAAATAAAACTTAACGTGAATAGTTGGGATAAACATTTTTGTTTCAAAACCTTAATTGAGGAAGTTTTTACCTCAACAGCTGGATTTGCAAATCCGTGTGGTGTTATTTACAGCTCTTTGTTCAATGAACAGTTGAAGACCTCCTGTTTTATATCTTCCCGTGTGGGAATTCAGGCAGGTCCAAGGAGGGAATGCAAGCAGAAAAATATAAGTTTCTCTGGAGCCTGCCAACAATGGAAGAAACCAGTAGGAATTTGTTCGAAACGTTTCAAGTATTGAGCCATCCTGCTGGAACCTGTGCCTGTCACAAATGCTTTTCTGGGAGAAGTAAGTGAATTTACGAAGAGTTTTGCACAATGTGGGGAAAAGTCCGTTGTGTCAGCCATAGGTTCAAACACCCAGGCGGTTTCTGGGTCCCAGGGGCACCCTCCGAAGGCAGGAGGGGGGTGTGTGTGTGTGCCTTCATTTACCTCCCTCCCTCTCCCTCCCCCAAGCAGGCTCATTCCAATCAGCAGTGTAATTGGAATGCAACCACAGTCTGGAGGAGGAAGGGGAATTTTTGGCAAGGAGAGGCAGAGCAGTTGGGAGCTTTATTCAGATTAAAGCATAGACGACCATTCATTATCAGTACAACACACATTAGCAACAGCCCAGCATTGTGTTTCTACAGCTGGGACCGATTTCAGTGATTGTATTGCACTGCACAGAACATGCAAACAACTGGGATCTGATCACAAACCCAGCACTAATGGCTTTCCTTAAAAGATGCTCTTTCTGTAGGGGGAGAAAGACTTGTCTTCCAAGTGAGCTCTTGTGGTAAAAACTGATAGGCAGCCTGTCCTTCTGCTCGCTCTCCCACGTGTTACATATGTTCTGGAACAAGCACTTCTTCTGGGAGAAAAACCCTTGGGGAAAGAAAAAAACCAACAGGAATTATAACGTCAAAACTGTTGGTTGGGTTGGGAAGGCTGAGCTTGTTCTTCTGTGGTGATGACACGTGGAAAGCCAGAAGATTAGTAAACATAATCTTAGCTTTGGAGCGAGTCCTTTCCTTCCCTGGAACCTCAGGGCTGGCTGTTGACACAGTGGTGGTTCTCATGGATGGCTGACATGGGATGGGGGGTTTCCTACTAAGTTGTGTAATTTTAAATGTCTTGATTATGGGTTTCCTTCTGCGCTCGCTTCCATGGACATTTCTGATTGCTTTTTATTTTCTTACCTGTCTTCCCGTTACCTTTCACCGATCATGTCTCAAATATACACACATTTAACAATTATTTACTTAAGATAGCTCAAGCAATGTTATTTTTTAACATAGAAATTTTAAACTCAGTATATTTCTATTGTGCTTGGCTACAGCTGTAGCCCTGAGGTGCTCCTACCTCAAGCACATTTAAACCTGGTCATTTGTCATAAATCAAGAGACATGGTGTTATTGATATACTTACTACTCTGCATACTTTTTAATACTGACATAAAATAGTGGTAATGTATAACATAGGATGCCTTCCACAACAACAGCTTGATGTCATTAAAAATTTGATTTTTCTGTAAAAATGATTCCAAAGTAGAAAACAGTTGTAACAAGAGTTCTTCAAAAAGAGTAAGAAGAGTTCAGAAAATGAGACAAATATTTATCTTTCTGTAAAATTCACCTTTTGAATATTCATAGTTCCTGTCAATTTTTATGTGGGTTTAACTAGTTATTCACACCCCCCTCTGTAATTGCATGTAAATTTTGATAGCTAACACATAGATGGCAGGAATTTGGGGATGTTAAATATTTTACATTTACTTGCAATAGTTAAATAACTTTTCAGTAAACCATTCTTTGTCAGTCACTGGAGTAATAAATCAAAAAAAGGAAATTGGCAAACGTGAATCACTTAATTCTTATTTTTGAGTGTTTTGTAGCAAAGCTGTCACAGAAGGAGACTGGGTAGCTTATAATATAATGCTCTTTTCAAGTTTCTGTGAGCTGACCTGAGTAGCATATGTTAGAATGAGATCATAAAGCACGATAAAAAGATATTTAATGTATGTATAGTATGTACAATTGATGTGCTGTTTGTCTTGGCACGTATGTATTGTTCCTTCATATTGGAATATTAATGTTCTCCTGTCTGTAGACTACCCAGGAAGTCTGCAATAAACACAAAACATAACTATCCACTGACTCACTGATACCCTGTAATAAATACTTTATCTACAGATGTGTGCTAGAAGGCATTAATGTCATTTGATGATGCACTTACAACACAACACTCCCCCTTTTTTTCCCTGAGCCCGTGCCAGTGTATCCAACCATTGATTCGTGTTCTAGTTCCAGTGCAAGTTTAAACAGCTTAACTTCTTGTTTTAAAATAATTTCAATAAAAAGTGCCTTAAAACAAGCACGTACAAATAACAAATAACCCCCTCCTGTGCCCTTGTGCCTCTGGAGGACCTGTTCGTGGTAGATCTGATAATGACGTGGGTTGGGTCCAGAATCGTCAGCGTTTTAACTTGGCTTTGTCCAGGGAAATAAATCTCCTTGTGGCTCTTTCTGCTTTTTGAATCTTTAGCTCAAATGGAACATAGGATGGAGGACTCAGAGATAATGAAGTCCCATGAGTTTTCTGAGAATCATTGCCTGGATAAAGAGGAGACCCAGGCAGGGACCTGGAGGGAGAGGAAAAAGCTGCAGCAGGAGATCCTGAGTTGCCGGAGCACGGGAGGGTCTGTGTGGGAGAGTGTCTGTCTGACTGCTGGGAAAAGCCTCAGCTATAGCTCTCAGTCAACCACAAAACATAAATCCATAGGAAGCCAAACTTCCTTAGTTTTTATTCTCAAGGAACTATTAATCAGTTGGTTATCAGAATATTCAGAATAGGTTGAAATACGGTGTTGAAACTGTTAGAAAAGTGGAGCATAAACTCTGGTGCTTTTCCCACCAGCGTTGTGCAAAAAAAGTCCTGAGCTAGATTAGAGCTCTGTGTGTGGAAGGAGATTGTTTCACTTAAAACTGAGCTGGGACCTGGGCTTTTTCACCTAAAATACCTGGCACAGAGGGTGTTGTTAATGGAAGGCTTCTCAGCATCTCTCCTGTTTTGTTAACCTGACAAAGCCAGAGTGGGTTGACATCTGACTTTCCTTAAATGTGGTTACTAGAGAGGGAAATCTTGAGCCAAAAATATTAGTTTGTTCACTCCTGGCTAATTGCTGGGGGAGCAGTTATTAGTCTGTGTGCTGTGCATGTGCCTGATCTTATAAAAATGGGACTTGGGTTAAACTACACTGGCAGGCTTGCTGTACTTTTGAAAAGGAGTGTTGTAATTAGTTAACCTTGCAATTTGTCTCTCAAAAGATTAGTCAAACCTCTTTTGTCTTGGACATTATACAGTCCCAGGAGCACCCTGTATGGCTCACTGTGCTATGGATGAATTTTGACTTAACTATTGGATTTAAAGCCTTCACCTTCATGTGACACTTCCCATTACTTGTAATGGTTGAAATTGTGACAGTAATTTTATCTTTTTTAGATGTTTAAAAAAAGGGGCCATTTATATAAGCATCTATTTTGCTTGAAGTTTTTCACCACTACCCGAAAGGTTGCTGGTGAGCAATAACCTCTTGCAGTTCTTGGGCAGGTGGTTCTCAGGCTGAGAATATTCTTGTAATTAAATCTTCAGGAGCTGCAAAAGCAGTTTGCTAGGTTTGTCTTATTATCTGTTTCTTCAAATACATTTAAGTTGTTCTCAATGGTATGAATAGAGTAGACTTTAAATTGCTGGACACATGGAATTCTTTAGTAACTGTGGGTTCTTATTACATCATCCTAAGGACTTCATTGGAATGTTCTGTGGAGTAGATGGTGGTGTGACAGTCTTTTCTACATGTGCTTGAACTCCAGGTATCAGAAATACCTAAAACATTTGGCTCTCCATTAGTATTTTACTGCTGTTGACTGTTTGGAATTATTGGGTGGAAATCCTTTAAATGGAGCCCTGCTGCTGAATGGAGAGAAATTCTATTTATTACTTTTACCGTCTTTAAAACAACCCAACAGCTGACAACCTGGAAACAGGCAGGTTTTTTCCTGGTATTATTGTTAGCAGCCCCTTGAATCAAAGTTCCTGGGAACTTGTGTGTGCCTTTCCTGTGGAATATGTCAAAGTGAGAGGATTGTTCTGTGACTACCTGCAGCCATTAATAGGTGTCACCTTCTGTTTTGACTGGAGCATCCAAACTCCTTAGACCTGAGCTGGATTTTGCAGTGCTGAATTCCCATGGAAAAAAGTTCCATTAAAATCTACATCTTTATGGACGTAAAAATGGGGAAAACACGAATTCCATTGATTCAGACTGTTCAGGGGGGTGATTCTGTGCCCTGACCATGGAAATCCCCATGAGGATGTTCATGGACCTCTGCCTGCTTTCACTCGGATGCTGCAAAAGAAATTAGGGAATCAGGAGCCCTTCAGGATCGATGTGGGGATACTCTGGGGGGGAAAGCAGGGCCAGTTCCATTTGGGTTTAGGTGATGTCTTTGGGATGGGATTATTGGATGCACTTTCCTGTCTTTGCATTTCCTGGCAGTAATAAATATTGGCGACCTCATTGGAAAAGCATCCCAGGGAATTGAACAGCGAGGAGCCTCCTGCAGTATCAGTTCCAACCAAATATCTCTCCCCCCTCCCCTGGTTTTAATTTTTTTTTGTACTGGCTGTGGGAATTTGTGCTTTTACTCAATCCCCAAGAATCCTTTTGTGTTATCAGTAAATATTTTAATGTTTCACAGGGGAATCTAATATTTCCTGCTTATTAAACCTGTGATAAGAGATAAGCCTTGAACAGTATTGCAGTTTGTGAGGAGAAGCCTTCATTGTGTGCCTTGGCATCTTCATATGAAAGTTGTCCCCTTTGACCTTTTATTTATTTATTTGTTTATTTAAATTTATTCTCATAGGAGATTGTTTTCCCCTTGGTATTTTTGGTTGACAAATGCAAATGTTCCTCCCCTTTTAAAGCAAAACAAACCAAAAAAAAAAAAAGCCTGAAACAATTATCAACTTCTACAAATAAAAGATATCTTTGGAACCATCAAAACTCTGGCCTTAGAAGTTAGTCTGCTCCACCCAGATATTTTTCAGGTAAAACCTTTTATTTATTACCATGCAGGATAACAGAAAAGCCTTGGCTGCCTAATACTCTCCTTTTAATGATCAGGGAAGCTTTTGCTGGGCTGTAGAACAATATAAATGATGAAGGAGCACAGTTTTCATTTATATTCATTTTATTTTGAGCAGGATTTTCTGGAATGCTGGACAGGTGAAGTAACTTCTTCTTTTCAAGTTGGCAACCAGTAACTTAATTTTGTATTTCTGTTTTTCTTGCAGTACTGTGTGCAAAAAACCTGGTGAAAAAGGATTTTTTCCGTAAGTAGCTGTTAAAGTTTTATACATTTATTTATAGATGGGATAAATATTATGCAGGTGCTGTAGCCCAATGTTTGCACATGATCATTGTATTAAGATAATTTTGCAATAAGGGAGGCGAGGGCTTTGATGTTTTCACACTGTTTTATTTCAGGGCTTCTAATTTTTTCTAAAGTGACACTCACCAGATTCATAATAATAATTAAAACACTGACACACTCTCTCTGGTTTTATGGGAGTGGGAAACAAATGTACCCACTCAGGCAAATGACATGTTTTTCAATTAGTGTCATATATTTATTAAAATGTTTTTCATGTAAGAACTTTTTGTCAGGCAAACAGATGTGCTTCTTAATTATTAATAATCACCTCATAATACCAAGCTACTCTGAAATTATATTTTAATTAATTTTAATAATGTTTTGAAAGAAGTGCTAAGAAGCAGATGAAGGAGGCAGAAAGGAATGTTATTTTCTGTGTCTGCTCACACAGATCACCTGGGAGCAGGAGGAATTCCAAATATCAGACCTGAGCTTGGGAAACAACTTGGAGAGGGGATGATACAGTGATTTGTGATACTTGTCTTTGATCTAGATTTCTGTATTGATTGTATTGGGTGTTTGACAGTTTAATGGTGCCTGAAAATAAACCCAAACCAACTCAAGATTTGAGCTCTGTGATGCTCTTGAGTGCTGAAACACAGATCCCAAGGTCCTGTTCCTCCCCTTCCCCACGTGCCTTGTCGTTATCCCACGTGCTTTCCCTGGCACTTGTCCTGCCCAGCTGCACCTGAGTCACCTGAGGAAGTGGAACTGGGCCTAAATTGCTCTACAGCAAATGGGATTCATGTTTTCCCCCCTCAGTTCCCCCACTGAGTCACTGAGCACTGGGGTGAGGGCAGGAATTAGGATGAGGGGGAACAGGGACAGGATGGGCTGAGCTGGGGGCAGCAGTGGTGGGACCATCCTTGGGGTCAGTGAATCCCTGGGTGGAATCCATCAGTTGGTTGTGCTGATTCTGGGCTACTCCTGCTGCTTTTCCATGCCCAGCTGGGCAGTCCAGCACCATCTTAGCACTGATTTTTGTTGTTCACCTGGTCCTGTGTTCAGTGTTTCTGAGGTGCAGAGCTGGCAGACAATGAAGCAGAAAGCTTAGCAGGAAACCAAGTGCACCTCAAAAGCAACAATAACCTGTTACAGGCAATTTTCTGTGATAGCAATATCAGCCAAAACCATAGTTGTGATTAATCTTAAACATAGGAAGAATGTAAATCTGTTTTCTCTGCCTTTGTATACTGAGATTTTACTCACCCCTGAATTAGGAAGATTTAAGATGTTCAGATTTTTTTCCCCAGTGTGTTTGACTCAGACAACTTTTTCTTGGTCCATATCAGTGAAATAATCTGCTAATTTACCATTCCCTGTACCTAATATGTCATGTTGTTCCCATCCATTAAATATGGTGCTCATTTATTAACAAAAGGCAACTTGAAATAAGAGATTAAAAAGTGAATTGTACAATGATGCAGGTCTTCAAAGCATCCTGAGCCATTTGCCAGTTTTTTTTTTTCTTTTCCTCCCCTCAGGACTTCCTGATCCCTTTGCCAAGGTTGTGGTGGATGGATCTGGCCAATGCCATTCTACAGATACTGTGAAGAATACACTTGATCCCAAATGGAATCAGCATTATGACCTGTAGGTGGTAACAGTGATAACCAAAGGTTTGAAGTGAAATCCTCTAAAGTACCCAGGCACTGTCAGATGTTCATAGAACTGTCCTGTGTCTCTGGGAAGGATCCCAGAGTTTGTTAGTTGGAGTGAAAAATATATGTATCAAAATTCCACTTTCTCATTTCGAAATCTGAACCCTACATTTGTTTTCCTAGTGGTGATTTCTGCAGCGTGCTTCACGTGTACCACAGCGTTATTTCATTGTAATATTTTCATGTTAACACTTCTGTAAAATGAAGCAAATAATTGACAATATTTCCCTCTTCTCTTGGTGCTGTTTTTGTCTGTTGTGGTGCTACAGTGTCTTTTTCTCTGTGTATCAGTTTCCTCTTCTATCATTTTCTGTCCCAAATGTTCTTCTCACCAGGAGTTGTTGTTACCATCACTTGAGCACCTTTGGGTGCTTTTGAGCAATATAATCAGTATGGCATGTACATGTCCTGGTTTTCCTCTGTCTTTCTAAAGCATAGAATATTGTGTATAATACAACTTATTAAAGCTTTTATTTTTATGTAGGTCTCTTTGTGGATGCTTTATTTTCCCTGTCTTTTAGTCTTTTATTCTTTATCTTTTTTCTTGGGGTGGAAGATGAGGAAGAGAAGTGAACTGGTTTAATTCATTATATTCTCCTGTTCTGATCTCTGACTTTATTCCCCTGGCTCCATTCCCTACCCTGTATTATTAGAAACTGTTTGAACATATTTATGTGAGCTTTGACCATCACCAGACCTGCAGCAGATCAATTATTTGTGCACAGAGAATTTCTTGTCCCTCCTTTTCCAAGTGAAGAAAAGCAACTCGATAGGTCTCTCAGCAGAACGTGGAAGGCCTGGTTTAAAGTCATATCTTGATCTACTCTTTATCTGAATATCCAAGACTAAATATGTGAAGTCATTGTTCATAATGTGCAGGATACAGAACATTTTCATTACTGCTTAACAAAATATCGTGGCAGTTTAGTGAAATAATAGAATTATAGTTTTATTATCCAAACTCAGTCCAGGTTTAGGTTCTGCATGTGAGACTGTAATTCATATTCATTAGAAAAATGGATATAAAACAAATTTTTAAGTTCATGTATAAGAAATGGATCTTTATATTTAAAAAATTCTAAGTTATTTTGATTTTTTTTTAATGTTATTAAACCTATCAAAATGTTAATTGGTATAGAACAGAGATTTCAGACCTCTGCCCTTCCATGTCCTCTCCAAAGATCAGTCCAGAGCTGAGGAACAAGCCCTGAAATGGGAGCAGAGGCTTTGATTGGTTTTTGGTTAGGTGGGTCCATTAATGAGCATTACTGCCCAGCTTTACAGGGATAAAAGGTGGGAAGTGCTGCCAAGGTGGCTGAGGGTAAATCCCTGTGTAACCTTTGTCCAGCTGGGAAGGGATACTCCTGCCCAAGGAATGATGGGCATGGTTTGGAGTTAATCTGCTCCAGAACTCTGTGTTGGGAATGTCAGCGATTCCCTGTGTCTTTCCAAGGATCTGTCAGTCCTGTCTGGGGGTTTGGAGTGTGTGGGACAGTGGATTTGACTGGGATGGGTTATAAGGGATGCTCTGTGCTCCATGGGCCAGTGATTTGATTCCCTCCTGCAGAAACTGAGGAGCAGAGGACATGGGAAATGAGGGAGGATGTTGATGTGCAACCAGAGGAATGGAAAAAAATGGTAAAAGCTTTAGAAAAAAATTCCTCTCTGGTTATGATTTTTAAGGAAGGATGAACAGAAGGTATTTTTGGGTTGTTTTACAGAACAAGCCATGGTTGTATCTGGATCCTGTAGTTGTCTCAGCATTGAAGTGAGACACTGATTGCATTATAAAAAGCAGAGATAGCAATGGGGTTTCTGGCAGAATGTTCTCCTCAGGCAGATTTGGGACATCTCTTGCTGGATTGAAGGAATTTAGACCTGCATGAAATATTTTTTGTGGGTGATGGTTTTTTTTCTTGTTTGGGGAAGAACATCCCTTAAAAATTAGATTTTGTTTAATCAGTGTATTATGTCCAATATAAATTACTTGTCAGGTAGGGGAAAACTACTTTGCTTGATTCTGACTTGAATTCCCTGGTGACAGAAGTATATCCAACATTTCTAATCCAAAGTAAAAGTTATGTCAGGCCTTGTAATTTGAAAATAATGCTTTCCCTCTCCAAATTTTCTTCATAATCATTTAACCCTTTCTATAGTCTTGCCTGTTATTCCAATTAAAACAGCAGTAAAAGTTGAGATCTCTTTGGTACCACAACTCACTGCCTGGCTTTTATCTTAAGGTAACTTTTAGTGTGATATACCCAGTGTAAGGTCTCAGCTTCCCATCTGCACCAGATATTAAGATAATTAACTTTTATATTTTGGGGGAAAAAAAAGGGATAGTAACCATCCTACTGCAAAGCACCTGATGACAAACCTCAGGGACTACAGGACTTAAGTCTTCTTCTTATTCTTTGAAAATAACAGGGATTTTAAATGTCTTAATGTTTTCCCTCACAACACAGCATTGCATGGGAACACCAGTCTCTGCCACTGTGTTGGGCTGATTGAAGTGTCCCCAGCCTGGAATTTTTAGCAGGTTAACATGCTAATTAACAGTCTCATCTGTCATGTGGTGGCAGATGCAAATGGCACAGTCAGGTGGAGCTGCTGGGATATATTTATGCAATAATGTCTGAGCTAAGTTGCTAATTCCCATGGAATTTTGTGACTCCTTAACCTGATTCAGCAGAATAGGTGTTCTGTTGTATGAGAATTTTTTTTTAAACACTTCTGCAGTGTTGTAAAGAGAAAAAAAAGGGTTGGCTTTTGCCTGCCGTGGTTCTTAATTCAGATCTTGGTGTGAAAGGAAGTGGTTGGATTAGTTGCTTGGATTCCCCAGCCTCGATGGGTGTGTGTGGAGGGGGGGAATCTGGGAGGCTTTCCAGAAAGAAATTGCCAAATAGTTGCTGTCTGGATGTAGTTTAATGTCAGGAAAATACCATGCTTGCCCTGGATGTATTCCCTTTCCTTATTTTCAGTCTTGTTTGTGTTTTCCCTACTGTGTTCAGGCCTTTCCTCAAAGCTTTGCAATAACCAGGTTTAACATGTTTACAGACTTTCTTGCATTCAGAGCTAAACTACCTAAACCAGCAGGTCAGAAAATGAACAAATCCCCTTTTTCTCTTCCTTCCCCTTCTGTTCAGTGATAGCCTGATCTCTCCAGCAAAGAGAATCTTGTTTAGGCAAAATAACAATTGCCCCTGTGTTTTTAATTTTATTAAAACATTTTAGAGGTTTCCAGTATGGCATGTACTTGAATTTTTTTTTTTAGAAGTGGAAGTGCTAAGAGTAGGGAAATTGAAATTTCTGAACATGCAGTTCTTATCCAAAGCCCTAATTTTACAGATTCAGAAAGTATGGAAGTTAAGAAAATGTCTATGGAAATTGAATGTCTGTGTTTCCACTTCATTAATACTAATGCTGTTATCTCTATTGAAGCACTCAAGCTGTGAAATAGAAATTGCTGATAGGACAGAGGACAAAAAAAAAGAAAAATAAACTCCAAAAACTTTAATTATGAGGAGGAAGAGAGAGTCATCCAACAAAGCAGGGGGGTGTGGTTTTTGTTTCTGGTTTGGTTTGTTGCACTTTTATTTTTTGGAACATTCTTTTTTAATCAAAAATAAAATTCCTAGCTGAGGCTTTTATGTTGGAACTTTATTGCCAGATGATGTAAAACAAATGTAACGTATCCACCAAATGAATTGGAAGTGTCAGCTTGTCCTACTGTCACTCTCTAAATGCAACCATGGGTTTTCATGCCTGAAATTATGCAGAAATGTAGATTATTTTGCTATAAAGCCAACTAGAAGTTACTTAACTATTTCTTTCTTCCTTTATATATATATATACACATATATATATATAAAAGCATTTTTATTTGGAAAAGACAGCTTGTGTTGCTTATTTCCTTTTAAATATGTGAACTAGCCAAATTTTAGGATGCAGAAATCAGAGTAGGTTATAGTAGGATATGGAGTCCTCACCTATTTGGTGTGGATGGCAATTCCCTGCATCCCAACCATGGGAACCTCACCCTGAAACAGGAATTCTTGGAAACTGTGTTGTGTATTCAGCTGTTCTACGTATTATTCAAACTGCTCTGTTATGAAATTGTGTTTAACCATCTACCTTTGACTTTCTTAAAGCAACAAGGAAAACTGGAAAATTCAAGACAGGTCATGATGATAAGTCTCTATTTTTAAGTGCACCTAATTTGTTCTCATAAGAATTTATTTTAAGTACATAAAACATTGTAGACTGCAACTGTGCACGTGAACCCCCATCCTCATCTCGTTTCTTTATGCAAAATTGGCATTGTCAAGGTTGTGAGGCCAAAAATCTGACCTATATTGTACAATCAGTTTACCATTCAAAAAACTTGGGTTTTTTTTTTTAATATGAAGCTTGTGTTTTGTTTGGGTGCTGGGGCGTTTTTGTTGTTGTTGTTGTTTAAATGTGCAGTGGTTATTTGAAACCTTCAGGCTTTTCTGTCTCCTTGGGTCGGTCCGTCTCTGCAGGTGGGGGAAAAAGAAGTTGTCAAAGTTCTGCTTTTTGGAAAAGGAAAAATGGGAGAAGTGTTAACCTGATCACAGCTGGAATTTTAAACCATGACAGTTAGTTCAATTATTTGGTTTGCCAACCTTGACAGTATCATTTCTGTCTTTCTGAAAACATTAAGATGCTTTCAAACCAGTAAAGCCATGGTCAATGGGGAGATGTATTTAGACATGGGTTGAGTGAGTTTGATCACTTTTCATCTAAAAACAAACAAAAAAAAAGCACTTGGAACTAAACTAAGGCCAGAATTTGTGGTCTGGGAAGGGAGAACTACAAGCAGTTCTTGGGATCTAAGCACAGTTACAAATTCATTTCCCTCAACTTGAAACAACTGTAATAATTCAGTATTGGCAATTGCTGATTTATCTGGAGTGTTTTGAAATTGTCCTCTGGAAGTTTTGAAAACAAAAACTAGCTCACAAACGTAATTGCCTCTGAAGAACAAAGCTTCAAACAAAAAAAGAAAAGCACAAGTAAAACAGCCTGCAGTGTCCAGGTTTTCCCAGGCCAGTGGGATGCAGATCCAGGTTTTGCCGTGGGAATGCTGTGAGGAGTCAGTCCCATGTGAGCAGAGACAAGGGGGAAATGTGGCACATGTCAGCTAAACCTTTTGGCATGGTCCTAATATGTGATGTATGTCACAAGCATACATTACTCCCAGTAAATCAGCCCCCCCAGAGCTGTGGGAGCTGCAGGTGTGGCCCCAGGTTTGCCCTGTGTTTTTCCTGCTGCTCAGAAGGGCTCTGACAGAGGGTGGTGCTTCCCTGGGGGTTGGAAGAGCAGCCCCTGAAGTGCTGCAGGAGGATGCTGAGCTGCTGTCCCTGCTCCCACTGCTCCCAGAGCCTGCTGCCACGAGCATTCCATCCCCTGGGGTCGGGCTGAGCAGGGGCATGAGGCTGAGCATGTTTGTAGCTGCTTGGAGAGCTGTGTCAGGGCCAACCTCAGCCTGCTGTGTTGCTGTTTTAGCCAGATTTCACAGACTTTGGGCCACCTGAATGCCTCCTCCCAGAGTCAGGCTTTCAGACCAGTCTGTATTCCAGTGAGCTCCTTCATAAGACATGCTTCCATCCAAGTATGAAGTGTACATCTTACCTGCAGATGACTTGCTCTCTCTTGCCCCGTGTGACATTTTTAATGGAGTGGTTGATAATTCCCCCCCCCCAAAGGTGACTTCTGGAGCCTTGTCCAAGTATTCAGTGAGTGCCATTCACAGGGCTGTTTTCCCACGTTTTTCAGGTACATTGGAAAGTCGGATTCAATAACAATCAGTGTGTGGAATCACAAGAAAATCCATAAAAAGCAAGGAGCTGGTTTTCTGGGCTGTGTGAGGCTTCTTTCAAACGCCATCAACCGCCTTAAAGACACTGGTTGTAAGTAAGCTGAAGACTTGTTTCTTCTCTTTCAGACCAGACTTGCATGTACAGACTTTTGAAGAGTGACAGTTTTTGCTGGATTTTGTGTTCCAACTGGTTTGGTAGTTTGTGGTGGTGGTTTATTGTATAATTTACATTTCGTGTCCTCCTTTTGTAGACCAGAGGTTGGATCTGTGCAAGCTTGGGCCAAATGACAACGATACTGTTAGAGGACAGATAGTAGGTAAGTAAAGGTTTTTATCTTTTAATTCTCTTGGAGCTTAATAGTAGCTGTAGAAATAACCCTTCCTAGATGTCACTTCTCTGTATTGAATTCTTCAGTGTCCACTGCCAGAGCCATTTGGACCTCAGGCTGAAAGTATGTTTGAACAGAATTTAAAAAAAAAAAAAGCACAAACAAAATCCAAACCAAAATGCTCAAACCACACACACAAATAAAAACCAAAACAAAAATATTTTAATAAGTGTTGGGGCAAATAAGACCATAGATGATAAAAAAATTATTGAAAGTTTTTAATTTCACTGTAAAGAATGGTAACATTTTGAGCCTGAACTCCCTGTGGAAAACTGACTGCAAAATCCTTGGCCACTGAGAGCTTCAGAAATCTGTGCTTCTTGGAAAAGGGTGAAGCATCTTGCTGTGACAGGAGGGAATTGCTGTCTGGGGTGACTTGGTCAATTCATTTTGTGTTTTCACGGCTTATTAACAAGTCTGTCACCAACCTCAGTAGCTGGGCTTTGTCATTCTGTGAACTCATAACTTGAGAATTAAAAAGAAGGTGGCAAATTGGAAAACAGGTATCCACAAAAAACTTCAGAAACATTCTGGTGCATTCTCAGTTTTGTGAAGGCAGTGTTTCCAACAGGTCACGTAACTTGGTCAGGATAAGGAAGGTCTTTATTTTCATAAAACAAGGTGCTAATGAGAATGTTCAGGCATGGGGCAAAGGAAAGTGAATTTTCGTGCTCAGTTTTATGTTCAATTCATAATTCAAATGATATCCAAGCAGCACTTTCATCAGCCAGGTAAAAACATTGAAATATCAGCCAGCAAACAGGGGCTTCAGCATGCTTGTTTGCTTTCCTCAGAGTGCTCTATTGAATAATACCTCTGACTTTCCCTCTTTATGTTGCTTTATCCATCTGTCTCATCTGATCTGCCAGGGCTTGCACAGCACTAAGATAAGAGTGTGATGGCACAGGAGGGTGAAATGGTGGTAGAAATGTGGAATTGTCAGTGCACTGCTGATGCTTCAGGCTGTTCTTGAGTGTTAAATTTTCCATGTGAGCTTGCACAGAAGAGTAAAGGATAAACCAGCCTCTTTTGTAGGGTGTGTTCTGTTGTGGGTTTGGTTTGCTTTTTGGGTTTGCTCCAGTGTTCTGGTCCCCTGAGCAGCCAGAGTGGGTGGGTGAGGTTTTGGTTGTGGGGTTGCTTTTGAGAGGGGGCTGAGCCCAGCTGACAGGAGAGCTGGTCCAGGGTGTGTTGGGAGCAGGGAGCTCCTCTGCCCACACCACAGAGCAGGGACTGTGCTCCCATGCTGCCCTCCAGAGTATGGAACACACATCCTGATCATCATCGCTTGGGAATGCTGGCATTCATTAAAGGAAAGAGAAAAACCAAACCAAAAACCCCACCCCAAAGCAGAAAGGTCTCAAGGCTCCTGGGATACCAGATGGGAAGCCTGGGGCAAATGCATTGCAGTGTGCAGTGGCCAAGAGACTTCAGAGAGAACTGGGGAGAGAGAACTGTCAGCAGTGTGGGCATGGACTGGACTGATGGGTTGGCTTAACCTGCTGTGCCCACAGAAGGTGGTGTGGCCAGAGCAGCACTGGCTCTGTAGGAAATCCCTGAGCAGCAGGAGCTGCTCAATCAAGCACTGAACCCAGGGAAAAGCACCTTGTCAGGTTACAGCAGAGACCCAGAGCAAATCTGTGTGTTCTGCTTCCTGCTGTTCTCGTCAGAAAGGTCAGGTTTGCTCAGTCATGGCTCTGGTTTAATTTAATGCATCCTTGGTAAGATTCCAGGGACTCCTGTCTTGTTTTATTTAAGTTGTCATTATTAATCTTCTTATATTTTAATCTTTCTTCATGAATGCAGTTTGTTGAATGGGTGAATTGAGCCTGAGTAAAACTAGATAATTCCGCTGCAGTTGTTAGATGGTGGAGAAATCTAGGTTAAAAATAAGTAAAAATATAGAATAAGTTTTAAATAATACTCTCAGTTCTTCAAAGGATAAACTGTCTTAAGAGACTGTACAAGATTTGAAACCAGTACTGTAATTGATACATTCAGCAGATGATAACCTTGCAAATCAAGTGCTTGCCTACATGCAACCATGTGAACTTGTAATGTGTGGGGTTCTTGCAGAATAAATACATCATCTAAAATTTTGATTTGGTTGAAATTAAATTGTCTTTTTCTCCATTTTGTAATATTAGTATACATGGAAGACTAAGAGTTAATTTGGATTAGGAATGCAGCAGGTACTGCAGGGCTCCCTGGGTTGGTCTCTTGAATTCTAAGCTTCAAAACATGTTGTTGTTGAAAATTTGGAGACTCAGGCAAAAGCTGCCAGTTCTGCTCCAACTTTTGAAACTTTGTGATCTTGACCAAAGTTTGGTTGCATCCAGGTTAAGGCCTGTAAGGTCATTTCACTGCATTTATAAATAGGACTTGAAGACAGTTGTCCAGAGGTACATTAGTGCCTCCTCAAGAAATGTGGGCCACAGCACGTATTGAGCTTTGTAAGCAATTGTTTTATTGTTAAAGGCATAACAAAACATCAAAAAACCACCCCAACCCTGCAGGAACACGAGTGTCATAAATTATCAGATTGGACACTTGCAAATTGTGATATTGGGAACAAAAGCAGCCTAAAAAAAAATAAAAATCTTTGTTTTCATAATTGCAGTACAAAAGCTTCAGGCATAAATATCCATTACAATGAATCATGTAAAAAAAAAATAAAAATTAAATTAAAACCCCAGTGAAGCAGTTTTGCTGAGGGCAGTGAGGGCTTTTTAGGGTGCTTTGTGTGGGTTGCATTTGACTTCTTACTGCTGGTGTTAGAAATAATAAACCAGATATGCAGTGCTTCTAGCAGTTACATTTTGCCTGGTTCTTGTGTTTGCGTGGATGTGGCACACAAAATACGTAAGGAGGAGTCAAAACCAGAGAGAATTCCTTATTTTAGCAGTTCTCCTGACCCTGTCCCAGCCGTGTGTGAGGTGAACCCTCTCCTGCCACCAGTCAGGTGTCAGAGTCCACCTCATATGGAGAAAAGTTAATGACAGCTTCAGATTTCACTTCTTTTTCTGCCTTAACTTGCATTCATATTCTTTCATTTTTAATATTCTGACTTTTTTTTGGAAGTGAGATGTATGTTTTCATGCATGGAATTCTCTCCACTGTTTCTGTATGACTGTCTTTGATTTTTGTGAGAAGGAAAAAAACCATCCAGAGCATGGCTCAGCTTAGTCCTCCCGAGTTGTACCGATTCTCTTTCAAATGTAAACTGTCATTTGCATTCAGATGTCATATCTTTAATAATTCTTTTATTATCTTACTAGTAAGTCTCCAGTCCAGGGACCGAATAGGCACAGGGGGACAAGTTGTGGATTGCAGTCGGTTATTCGACAATGATTTGCCAGATGGGTAAGCAGAGATCACTGTGATGTGAACACAAATACAGCTCATCCAACACACTGCTGCACTAAGGAGAAGTCAGTGTACAAATAAATCACTTTGCTTTTGTTCTTGCCCTGAGAGTTCTGCAGTTTTGCTTTCAGGAGCAGGAGCTAAGCCAGCTGGGACACACGGAACAGTTATCAGTTAATAGGAACGTGGCTTGTGTGAATAAATGCATTGAAAGACACACTCAGCTAAGAAAACATCTTTTCAAGTTTTAAAATTGATAAATTAATATAATGTTAGATCACAGGCAGAGAATTGACTTCTCCATGTAGTAGTTTTCTAGCGAGGAAGTGACCACAGGGCCTGGCTGCCTTCTGTTTATCATATTATACACTGTGATAAACATGGATCACATTTTATTCCATGGGTATCACAGTGAAGAAAACATGATTAGAAAAGGTCTGCACTCAGCCTGAGTTCTCACTGTGTTTACCTGCCAAAGGCTGGGTTTGGGGTTCTGGTTTGTCCCTGTGAGAGTTAATGACATCATTATCACCTAAAACAGTTTTGAGAACGCAGGAAAATGCTCTGGTTTAGGTTCTGGTGCTGTCAGCAACTTCTTCAGAGCAAACACAGGCCTTCTAAATGTGATTCTTGGCAGGTAAAGACAGGAGAAATGGAGTTTTCAGATGATGAATTTTGAAATGCAAATTAGCATCTGAGCATTCTTTTGTTAATTTGGAGTCCAGATAAGTCAAAAACATTTTTGAAAATGCTTCTAAATCACCACTTCAAAATGTTCCTTGCATAAATATTGCTCACTTAATTGTGTGACTGCAAAGCTTCCTGTACAGTCTCATGTGTTTTGGAGTGCAAAATTAATAATAATTAAAAAGTCACATTATTTGAAGCTGACCTTTTAATGAAAGCAAGTGGTGCGTGAAGATGCTGTGAAAGCACTTGTTAGAGTCAGTGGTCAAAACAACTTAAATGCATTATTAAACATGCTGTTTTCAAGAAGTTTCTTTATGTGGCTATTTGGATTTAATTAGAACTCAAGCAGTTATGGAACATGAAGGTGTGATATTGTTAATGATGTGCCTGGTTCCAAGGGAAGAATATGTTAAATCATTTCTGAGTTCAGCTTTCAGTTGTTTCCTGTTACCTTGTTCAGCCACCGTGATTCATAACGGTGCAAGTCTTCCTGAGTTGGCATTTGTGTTGGAAACATTTTGTGCCCTGGTTTCCTGGAAATACCACTCATTGCCTTATCTCTCCGTGCCTGGATTGCAGGTGGGAGGAGCGGAGAACTGCTTCTGGAAGGATCCAGTACTTAAATCACATCACACGGACAACTCAGTGGGAGCGACCGACACGGTGAGGGATTTTCTGGGAGACTGAGGCTGGGATGAGTTTTGCTTGCTGGGCACTGGTGATTCCAGGTGGCTCTAGCAGGGGTATTGGCCATTCCTCCAAGTCACTCTGCACAAGGTTGTGCTTTCCTTCTTTAGCATCCTACTCCTTCAGTCTGCCTAATAGTTAACTCACAAGATCATTCAGAGTTGATTTTTTTTCCTCCTCTAATAGCAGAGCATTTTGGTTTTCTTGAAGAAATGAGATCATGAGTAGCTGTGAGACATTTGCCTCTGTCCATGCCATGACCATGTAACCCAGAATAGTTAGTAGAGCTGATTGTTACAGAGCATGTTTCAAAATCATTTCAGTCACCTTTTTTGATAACTGTAGATGTGTGTTGTTCCTCAGTGTTGTGAAGCTGTTCCTCAAACCACTTCTGCTGTTACCTGAATTGCAGGCAGTGTCATTGCAGATTTTTCAGACTCTTCTGCAGACTCTCTGTTGCCTGCAGTGTCTTTTCCATTCTCAGTGTTACTCTGGTCTCTGCATGGATATGTTTGACTTAAAATAATCTGTACTGTTAACACTGCCAGCTCTCATGCAGTTTTGGAGTGAAGGGATTGAACAGCCTTTTAATTTACCTATTTTTATTTTTCCTGGTATGTTAAAATACCTGCTCTAAGCTCCAGACACATTAACAGTGGAGAAACAAATGTAAAATGTATAATTTGTTTTGGGGATTTCAAGTGACCTTGTCAATCCCCCTTTAACCCATTTTAAATCCTTTTGGGAGCAGCACTGAGAGATGAAATCACACAGTTCAATGTTCCCTCTTGCAGTCGAGCTCTCAAGAGCAACAGCTTTTTCTCTTGCTTAGCCCTTTTTCAGCATCCTCTTCTAATAACCTTCCTTAAAAACTGGAAGGAATAACAAGGCCTGGTCACTTCCTGAGGCATATGAAGGCAAGGTGAGAAAGTTTGGGGGTGAAGAGGAGATTGAGGGGAGACCTCATTGCAGTTACAGCTTCCTTGTGAGGGAAGAGGAGGGGCAGGCCCTGAGCTCTGCTCTGTGGGGACAGGGACAGGACCCCAGGGAATGGCTGGAGCTGTGTCAGGGCAGGGTCAGGTTGGATCTCAGGCAAAGGTTCTTCCCCCAGAGTTGTTTGGGCACTGACCAGGCTCCCCAGGGCAGTGGGCACAGCCCCAAGGTGCCAGAGCTCCAGGAGGGTTTGAATGAACCTCTGGGACACAGATGTGACTCCTGGGGATGGGCCTGTGCAGGGCCAGGAGTTGGACTGGATGGTCTTTGTGGGTCCTTGCAGCTCAGCACATTCTGTGATTCTCAGTGATTGCTCTGGTGAGCCCAGAACAGCAGCTTTGCTCCAGTCCAGGTGTCCTGCTCGGCGAGGCAGCGGCTCCCGCAGAGCTTTCCCGAGAGCCTTGAGGTGAAGCTGCCACCAGGTTTGTCCCGTGGCCCACATCCAGTCAGGGTGCAATGTTCCCCTTTTCCCCAGGCCAGCATCCGAGTACTCCAGCCCGGGCAGGCCCCTGAGCTGCTTTGTGGACGAGAACACTCCGATCACGGGCACCAACGGCGCGACCTGCGGGCAGGCGGCGGACCCTCGGCTGGCTGAGAGGAGGGTCCGGTCCCAGAGGCACAGGAACTACATGAGCAGGACACACTTGCACACTCCTCCTGATCTACCTGAAGGATATGGTATGAAAATCAGAATTCTTTAATGTGGGGGGGTCTCCAGAAACTGGGAAAATGGGACGAGTCTTCTCCTCATACGCGAGATCCTTTTGATTCCTCAGTTTAGGGAAATTGGTCTTTGTGAGCTTTCATACTGCATGTTTTTGTTCTTGCATTGATTAATTCATTAGTTTTCATGTTGTATTTTTGTTCTTACATTTATTAATTTGGCTTGACTTCACAGAACAAAGGACAACTCAGCAAGGTCAGGTCTATTTTCTGCATACTCAGACTGGTGTCAGCACGTGGCACGATCCAAGAGTACCCAGGTAAGAAATGATAGAAGTACCCCTAAGGTTTCACATAAAAATCATTGCTCTCCTCTGTCTAATATTATATTTCTGATTCTTGGCCCTTAATATGTCATTTTAACAAGTCATTCATCAAAATCAATTAATGTCTCTTCCTTGGTTCTTCAAGTTGTTATTTTAATGAAAGATGGAAAATGAAGAAAGAAATTACTGTGGTGTTTTGAAAACAGGTATAGTTCACTGATTCTAGATATTGCATGTGAATTAGAGCCAAGTCCAGATTTTAATACTCTGCAAAATAATGAAACAATAGGTAGAATCTGAACACTTCCAAAAGAAGTTTTATTGAGATACTTCAGTGAAAACTGGGTTGGATTGGAACAGTCAAACTGCTATTCCTGTTGCAGCTCTCTCAACACTTGGGAGAAGATAAATATGAAGTCTTTTTTATTTAATGTCCTTATTTACATGATACACATGTACACATTGGTCATTACTGTGCACGGGATTATTTCTCATGTTTGAAAGGATAATAATGGAAATTATTGATAGCTTCTGATTGTTCTTTATATAACCAAGAAATCCTGTTGAAAACACTTGGCTCTTAAAGCCTGTGGATGGTGGTGTGAGATGTGTGTGGTTTAAAACTGGCAGCCAGTGCTGGCATCTGTGAGAACTGCAGTAACTTTGACAATTGCTGATGTTCCTTCCCATGGAAATGGGTGTCCCAGGAAGGATGAAATGCCTCATGGCCACAACTTCATTGTGTTTGGAATTAGTCTTTTGTTCCTGTTTCTGTGTTAGGAGACTATCCCTTGCTTTGATGTGTTACCTGCAGACCTGAGGCTGCAGTTGTGCCTTAGGAAGCCCATGGCTTGTGTATTATCCAAAACCAGGCGCTGGAAAAAAATATTTGAAGAGTAATCCTTAAGTCTGGGGTGTGATAGTTCTGTGTGCAGCCTAAGTTAGCTCTGCCCTGAGGTGTGGCAGCACAAACTGCGTGAGCGTGTCTGAGAACAAAATTTGGCTGTTTGCATGAGGGTGGAATTGATGTCATTTCTGGGGAATATTGTATTTTTATGCTAATAGCCACAGTCATGTAGTCAACAAAAATGAGCCCTGTGGTCCAGCAGCAGTGTGTTTATGGGGAATAGCAGCAGGAGTTCAGTCCCAGAGCTAATGTTTCCATTAGTGACTTTCCAGTCTCTGGAATCCCTGCAGGTGGCACCTTTTTAGCCATTCTGTCCCTTGGCTGTTTCCTCCCTCAACTCCCAGGACACTGGGAGAGCTGAACCTTTAGAAAGAGCTGCCCTGGACAGTGTGAGGGATCTGAGGTGTGAATTATGTCCATGAATAATCAGTGAGTGGACATTTTTGGAGACCAGTATTTCTTTTCAGTGAAGCTCTGGAATGAATCTGCGTCTTTCTAATTTCAGCAGAATTTTTCTTGAGACCTACTGAGCCACCTCTGCATTGCTTGGGGCAGAGCTGAGTCACTGTTCAGATAATACTTGATTTGAAATACTTTGTTAGAGAGCTGTTTGCTTCCCGCCAGCACTTGGGGTCTGGGGGCAAAATTGCCAGTGCCATAGAGACCCATCCCATGTGTAATTCTTCATGGAAACTGTAACTCTACAGAAATATAGTTTTGTTTTGTAGGAGTTTATTATAAAGTGTGATTCACAGTTCCTTACGTGACTAATGTTGTTTTAAAAATGCTTTCTTGTCAGAACTGGTGCAGAACTGCAATTCCATTTTGACAAATATGGCAATGGTCTTTATTTTTGTTTGAAGCCTGTATTAATTTAACAGCTGAAGTTGGTTTGTAAAAATGAGGGTTATTTGATAAGGACTTTTTTCCCCACGGCACGTGTTCTGGGGCGTGTGTTTTTGCTGTGGTGGGCTTGCACCTTGGGAGTAGAGATTCCAGCTGAACAGCTCAAGTTTCTGAAACAATACATTTTCTCAGACTTCATGGAATTGTTCTGTTACATTTACGCTTGTTTGGCTCGGAGGCCAATTGCTGAGGTATTTTTCATTTTATATTTGTTTTCACAGGGATCTTAGCAACATCAATTGTGAGGAGCTTGGTCCACTGCCTCCTGGATGGGAGATCCGAAATACAGCCACAGGCAGAGTTTATTTTGTTGACCATAACAACAGGACGACGCAGTTCACAGACCCGCGGCTCTCTGCGAACCTGCACTTGGTCTTAAAGTGAGTCTCAGGTCTTAAACTCAGTCTAAAGTCTCTGCACGTGTTGAGTGCAATGGAGAGAAGAAGGTGACACTGAGGGGTGCCGGGTTTATGTCAGGATTCATTCTGCCGTTCCGGGCGATTTAAGGAGTGTTCTTCCACAGCAAAGACCAGTTTGGTTGCTCTTGAAAACAAATCTCAAGGAGCATTCAGGCAGGAATGTGGCTGGTGTGATGCAGAGGGGGAGGGAAGCAAGTCCCGTTGGAAACATTGGCCCGTGGATTTCTTTTTTTCCTAACAGCAAGCGGGACACTTTGTTTTCTTTATTCTTCATTCTATTTCAGTTGTGGAGAACTTGTTTTAAAATATGAAGTTGCATGTGAGCCGGTGGTGTGAAATACCGATGACTTGGTGCACAACTGCCCAACCATCCTCCTGGAATAAAGGAGGAATAATTCAGCTCCTCCCTTCAGATTCAGAGCAGGCCTAGTTGAGATGCTCTCAAAATAAAACCCCAACAATTTAAATCGGGTTTTTTAAGAAAAGAATAAAATAGAATAGGCAGCGCATTTTTTCTGCCTTAGTGGTTCGATATCACGTTTTCATATCTCAGTTTTCAAAAGAGAAGGGGAAACTCAAAAAGAATTCTGGCTCTTGTTTTATTCCCTGGGCACTCGTTACACAGTGGGGATTTTCTACTAAAAATGGAAACCAAAAAGAAACAAACACTTCTCTTTTCTTTTTGCCCAGACGTGGCTATCGGCTTGGCCAAGCTATTTGGGAGTTTTGACTCTTTTGTTTCTCCTGCTGACACCTTTTAATACTCCTGGGAAACACCTGTAAAGTGTTGAGTGGGTGTTAAGTGGAAGAAACAATGAAGAGCTGGTTACGGGGAAAGCCCTGGGCAAGGAGTAAGTAGGAGGAATAGTCCTTTAAGGAAGTGAATCATTGGCAAGAAAAGCTGAAGGAAAGAATAATGGCAACAGGCACTGAAAAGACAAAACCGAGGAATGGAAAGTAATATCCAGGAGTCAACATGTCCTTTATGCATTACACAAAAGCTGTCTGGCCTTTGCCCAATATACACTTGGACTTCCCATTTAGACAGAGTCTAAATATTGACAAATACATATTTTTGTTTAGAGAAATCAGTGGTTATGTATGTGTATGTTACAGGACTTCAGTAAGCTTCCATCATCCAGCCACTCTGGCAATTTTTTTTTAATTGAGAACAAAGAAATCACTACTAATTTAAGCTTAATCCGGACTGGTGGTTTGAAATGAACGTTATCTTGGAAAAAACTTACCACTGGAGGAGCATGTTCATGTTTGAAACGTAGAAAAGTTCCTTAAATCAATTCAGATTTAGATATTTTACTTGAAGAAATCTTCAGACCCTCTTAGCTACAACAGTGCTCTTCTTAAACTGTAGAAAATTCAGCCAGCTGGGCTGTCTTTGACAAACTTCACAGGCAGGTTCATTGGGAAATGACAGAAGGGTCACAGTGGCCAGTTGTACCTGGATGGTGGAGGACGGACACAGAGCTGCCTTTGTCATCTGGAAAATCCAATTTGACTTCTGATTTCCAGACTCACAGAACCATTTTGCATTTATTTAAACTTTAAGTGCTCCTGCAGTGTGCTGAAGTCTTTTCATTTGTCCATCTGTCTTTCATTAGAGGAGGATTTCAGAAACTCACCCATCGTTGTCATCAGCCAAGTTGCTGCCTGATAAATCATCTCGGGTGTTTATTCTTTTATTGCACCAAACAGGATATGTGAAAGCTTCCCCTGCCTTAAACCCACCTCCTTGTTTGTTCTTTAAAAAAAAAAAAAAACAACAACAACAAAAGGAATTTGCCTTGGGCCTGACATTTTGTAAATTTTTTAAGAAATAATGTAGTACTTGGGTGGGATGGTGTTTTAGGTTCAAAGGCATGAGGAAAAGTTTACCCTCAGTGATACCGACTTTTCTACTGAGCTGAGTAAAGCCCTTTGTTCCTCCAGGGATGACATTGTAAGTTATGAAAACAATCAAACTTGTTCTGTTTTACCAGTTGTGTTTTAAAATATGGACCGAGAGAGTTTGTGATAGATTTTGATAGTTGTGGCACCTGAAAAGTATTTAGTTGTATCCTTAAAGCACTGTATGGAATCAAGCAAAGTCATTCAGCTGTGCAAACAAACTGAGAAATGAGGTTTAATGACTTTAAGCACTGCAGATTGTTTAGCTAATACTGCACTAATTATTTGTAGTCTAATATGAAGGATGGCATTTTATTTTTCTCCTCCTTGTATTTCCTTATTTTGGGAAGTACTAGGAGGAGAAACATAATGGTTTAATTTGATCCATAAATCCTAAATTTATGCTCATTTCAGAGATTAGATTTCCTTTAAGACTGACTGGCTTTGTACTTGGGGGACTGTGTCTTTTTACTCTTAAAGGCAGCAGGGATGATGCTCACTTTAGGATAGAAATATGACCTTCTCTGGTAGCCACATCCAAGGAATATTTTCCCATATTCCTCCCTATGGAATTAGAAAGTTCAGAACAGAGAATAAAGATTTGGCTTTAATTTGCCTATCAAGTAAATACAGTTTAAATGAGATTCATATTTAAACCTAATTCCAAGTGAACATTGCCATGCACAAATGACACAGAGCCACAGTCTGGAACCACAGCAAGTGTGTGTCTCTAAATTATTGTAATGACTTGGTTTTTCAGGAAATAAAATTTAAAATAAGTGTAGTTCATTGTTAAGACCAATGTGTTCAGCTTGCAAATAAAGTTGAGGTAGCCTTATGTAAAGAAACAACACCAGAGGCAAACAGAACACTGAAAATAACAACACTGAGCTGACTTTGGAAGTTCTGCATCCCAGGACATGGTAACAAAGTAGGATTTCAGTGTATTGTTCCCTCCTGAGAGCCCAGGATTAAAGAGGTGTTATTATTGCTAAGATGGAGGTGAATTTTGGTTGGCCAGGAGAGTTTTCAGCTAAACCTTGTTTCAAAACAGACAGTAGGCTGAAATTATAAAATATATTCAAACTGTTTGATTCCCTCTAATATTTTTTAGTCTCTGTTGAAAAAAAAAAAGTTCCACTGGAGAGCATTCTGAATTGTAGCATTTCTTATTTATGCAGTAAATTTAGGATATTCTAATGTGCTCCACACAGAGATATTCTTCTCGTGGTTTAAGGAGAATAGAGTTTTTATCCTGTGTTGTTTATGAATGCCATACTAAAAACTGTAAAAATATCCACTCACTGTGTGCAAGACACAGAGAGCACATCTCTGCAACATGATCCATTTACTTTTCCTAGTAAGAAGACAGATTTACAAAATCTCTTCGAATTGCTAGTAAAAATACTTGTTTATCTGTGCCAATTAGTTCCATGTGAACTCCCACATTCCTGTGGTCCAGACTAGGCCAGGTACAAGGGACAAGGTCCTTGCCAAGCTGCCAGTACAAACATCTTTTTGTAAGCTTACTCTTTTCCAGACAAGCCATGTAAAACAGACTATGGTATTGACTGGAGATTAGAGGCAGAGTGTTTGGCAGATCCCTGAATTTTAAAATGGAGGGAGGGAAAACACGCAAAGGAAATATGGAAATGGTATCTGAGAAATTCGGTGTCAGCAGCTCAGTAGTAAAATTGTATGGATAATACCTTATTGTCTGGGCTGTAACCTTTTACATACTTTGCAGAGTAGCACTAAGAGAAATAACAAGCCCTAAAAACAACAGATACTTGCCAAGAAAGACAGAACTACACGTCTTCAGTCAGGATAAAATCTCTCTGAATTGATCCTTTACTGGCCTGGGCGGACGTTTTTAGTGCAATCACCGTAACAATCGCAGTAAATTGAAAGTGTTCAGATACAAAGCTTGCCCTCTGAGAGGAGAGGGGCATGAACTGAGTGTGTGCAGCCAGTGTGTGTGTGTTTGCAGCCGGCAGAACCAGCTGAAGGACCAGCAGCACCAGCAGCAGCAGCAGGTGGTGTCCCTGTGCCAGCTCCCGGACGAGGCCGAGTGCCTGACGGTGCCGCGCTACAAGCGGGACCTGGTGCAGAAGCTGAAGATCCTGAGGCAGGAGCTGTCCCAGCAGCAGCCCCAGGCTGGGCACTGTCGCATCGAGGTCTCCAGGGAGGAGATTTTTGAGGTAACTGGAGGTTTTTGGCCCCTTTCTTACCGCTGAGGGAAGGGCGGGAGGGTCGTTCGTAGCGTTCGCTGGAGTGGAATCTCGAAGGCTGCAGTTGAAGCTGGAATTTTATGAAAGAGGAAGCATTTCTAGGGGATGTGGGTTGTGTAATTAAAGTAAATTTAAGATTAAATAGGGCACCTGGAGAAAAATCTTGGAAATCTGGGAAATCTGTCAGCTGTCATGTGCTATGTGTGGTTACTGAGCCAGTAAAAAACTACTCTGATTTCAGCCTTATCTCAGCATGTTCAGAGATAACTTCCTTCACTTAAACTAACTTCACTTAAACTTGTATTTAAGATTAAAAAAATGAGACTCCATTGCAGAGATTCTCAGTGTAGGAATGCATTGGTCTACAAAGTATGTATTTACCCTATGGAGAAGAAGAAAACCATGGGGTGCTTTCTCTGTGGCTGAAGATGCAGGGCCTGTGGCAGGGACTGAGGAAGGAGTTCAGGCACTTCATGGGTCTGAAGATCCTGCCTCACTTCTTCCTTGGATGTATGTCTGTTCCAGAGGGGATGTTACAAATTGAGCACCAAACAGTTATTAGTGCTCTGTGATATATGGTAACTGAGGTAAAATTACTGTTTAATAGGATTCCTCTTCAGCCTTTGGATTACTTAGTATCAATCTCAATTCTAGTTGATTTTTTTTTTCCTTTTTGTTGTTTTCTCCAGAATCAGACCAGTTATATGAACTGTATGGGCATCTGAATGGCCAGAGGTGCCCACTGTGGGATATCTGCATTCTGGGTTTGGGGCATTATTCAGCAGAATCATTTCTGTTGTCTTGATTAAACACAGTTATAATTCATTGGCCTTTCCTGGAGAACAGTTTGTCCTTTTGAGAACTTTCACCTATCCCACCCATCCCTGTTGCATTTTTACCCCACCCACAGACTTGATCACCCCTCTGTGTTGTCACAGTTTTTCACAGCCAAGAAGGATTTGTGTTGGTCTTCCCTTTGGAGACAGTCAGACCAGTTCATAAGCAACTGAAAAAGCAAGGGAGGGAAGGGGACAGCACTGGGAATTTTGTGTTCTTGTTCAGTCCAATGTGTTGGGTCCCAGCACACCCACCTGCCTCTCCTGTCCTGCAGAGCCAGAGGTTGGAGCTGATACTGGATATAAATAAGAACTCAGCTTTTTTTATTGTTTAATTCCTTTTTAAAAATGAGCATTTGTTCTGCCTTTCAGCTTTGTTTCTGTGTTTTCTTGGTGAGCTCTTACTGATAGAGGAGTAACTGTGTATTTACTGGGATGGCATTGCTGTTCTTAAGGTGCTTCCTGATGGTTGGCACGTGTGTTATGCCCAGAGGAGAAGCTCCTCTGTTACTTTTCAGACTGCAAAAATTACAAGCCTTTATGCAAAACAAAAGGAGTTTACTGACACAGATTTTAATTTTTTTATGAGTTCCATGAGAATGAGAGAGGGAATGTTCTGCCCACTGTTCACCTCTGGATACTGAACAGGGGGTGGATCTTCTCATCTCTCTGTTTTATTTGAAAATTACACTGTCCAATGTTATCACATTTTTAGAAAATGAAGTAACAGCCTGTGATTTGAGAAACTGGTTGGTATTTAGGAAAATAGTGTCCCCTTTAACAGTATCCCTTTCAGACTGATCCTGAGACTCCCTTCACTTCCAATACACAGCAGTAGCTTCCAGCCTGTAAGGAGCAGTTTAATGAAAGGAAGTGTTGTGTGTTTACAGGAGTCCTACAGGCAAGTCATGAAGATGAGGCCAAAAGACCTGTGGAAACGATTAATGATCAAATTCCGTGGGGAGGAAGGCCTTGATTATGGAGGAGTTGCCAGGTAAAGTCACTCCTCTGTCTCTTCCCTGCACCCCAACCCCTCTGACAACCCCTGTGCTTTGAACCCTAAACCAGCCTGGTGTCAGCCCTGGTTCTTTGACATTATCCTTATTTATATTTATTTCTGCAACAGATTGTATTTCAAAGGAATATATAGCTTTAGATAGTCTTTTAAAAGAAAAACTGCATCAAAAAAGCACTGATTTATTGGAAATAAATCAAAACACAAGTTACAGATCACATCAGACATCTGTGACACAGGTTTTGGTATCTGTTGAAATTACTGTCTTTGGTTAGTAAAGTTTGGGTGCCTGAGAATTTATACCACTAAATGTTCAGGTTTGTGGAACAAATTTAACCAAAAAATAGGTTTTCTTGCAAATCATTGCTGCAGTTTGAAGCAAGATGTTAAAAACCAGCAGTTGGTGGGTGATAGTCTGTCAATAGTCTGAGGTTACTTTTCACTTATAAAAAGTGACATTCCCAATTCTCAGACCATTATTTATTGATTTGTGATTATGTAACTAAAACTTGAACTAAATATATTCATTACCTAAAGGTGGTTTATATTAAAGGGTTTGATTCTAAAAATCTGTGTAATATGGTCAAGTGAATACGTGGTGTCTTGTCTTGGTGTGTAATGGATGAAGGAGAATCACAGTCGGAAACTCTTGGAAATAAGTAACCTGGAGAAAAATCTTGGAAAGCTGGCAAATCCATCAGCTGTCAGGTGTTGTGTGGTTACTGAGCCAGTAAAAATAATTCTGATTTCAGCCTAATCTCAGCGTGTTCAGAGATAACTTCCTGCACATTTATGTTTAAGATGAAAAGAGTCAGACTCTGTTGCAGAGATTCTCAGTGTAGGAATGCATTTGTATACAAAGTACCAATAAATTGTTTTCTTTTCTCCAGGGAGTGGCTCTACCTGTTGTCCCATGAGATGTTGAATCCATATTATGGGCTCTTCCAGTATTCCCGAGATGATATTTATACCCTGCAAATCAACCCCGACTCCGCCGTCAACCCGGTACGGCGGGGCCTGTCCTGGGCTGAGGGCTTTGGGACTGAATTAAACACATCTGCAGAGGCTTCCAGGCTCAGGAGCCAAATTCTGACACTGGTGTTGCTGGACACTGGATTTGTGCAATTACATGATAATTCAGTAGTGATCAAAGACACTTCTCAAATCTGTTCCTAATTTTCCGTAAGATGTCGATTTATGTTTCCTTTGGGAGAAATGAAGTCTGTTTTGATTCTTGCTGGTCTGACTTCTGGACTGGGAGCAGGATGTGTGTGAAAACAAAACCAAACGCTCTGGGTTGGGTTTGGAGTGTTTTTTTTTTTTTTTTTTTTTTTTTTTTTATTGAAATTTTACCTCCTGCTCAGCAGCCATGAGCTGGAGGTCTGACTTTGTCCCTCCTGTCCCTTCCAGGAGCACTTGTCCTATTTCCACTTCGTGGGCCGGATCATGGGCATGGCTGTGTTCCACGGGCACTACATCGACGGGGGCTTCACCTTGCCTTTCTACAAGCAGTTGCTTGGGAAGCCAATCACTTTGGATGACATGGAATTGGTTGATCCTGATCTTCACAACAGCTTAGTCTGGATACTGTATGTACTCTGTAGTGACCCTCAGGATGTTGGAATGCTTTCTCAGTTATGTGATCATGGTCTTAAATCCAGTGGAAATGAAGTGTGTTTTAATATCTTGCTCAGGCAGACTTAAGAAATATCTGTCTTGCACAATTCAGCTTCTTTAAGGACAAAAATGATCAAGGCATTCAAATTCGGGGGGCAGGAGGAGAGTTGATAAATTTTAATTTATTAATGTTGCCTATTATTAATTTTACCATTATAAAATGTTATATTTTATTAACAGTAACATGTTATTAAAATATAACACTGAATAACATGTTATTAAAATATAACATTGAAACTCTGATAACGGTTTTAAAATGCAAGACATGAAAACTGCACATTCCCCTTTTGCTTCCATGCAGCGCTTTGAAATGGCATTGAAAAATGAGATTGTGCTTCTGTCAGGTGGATTATGGCTGTGATACATTTGCAGGACGTGTGTTCACTCAGTCCTGTGCTCGTTCCTTCCCCCCAGTGAGAACGACATCACGGGAGTGCTGGACCACACGTTCTGTGTGGAGCACAACGCCTACGGGGAGATCATCCAGCACGAGCTCAAACCCAACGGGAAGAGCATCCCCGTCACAGAGGAGAACAAAAAGGAATATGTCAGGTACAGCAGGGGCTTTCTCCTGGTTTGGTTTTTTTTATATTTCCTGCGGTGGGGAGGAATTTTACTTGTTGCAGTAATAGGTGGTGGTGTTGGTTTTTCCTGAGGGGTTGGGCAGTGCTGGAGTGTGTGATCCTGTCAGCGAGGCCAGGTTTTTTGGGGCTGGATAAGTTGCAGGTTTATTGGATGTGAAACATCTTCCCCCAACCCAATTTGCACTTTTTCACAGACTTTATGTGAACTGGAGGTTTTTACGAGGAATTGAAGCTCAGTTCCTGGCGCTCCAGAAGGGATTTAATGAAGTAATCCCACAACATCTGCTGAAGACATTTGATGAGAAGGAGTTGGAGGTCAGTGCACGATGTTGTCTTGTGTCGTCAAGTGTAACAAGTGAGAGCCTGAGGCACTTGGAGCCTGAGGAACCCAGAGCTGTGATCCCAGTGCTCCTGGGGCTCCAGGTGTGCTCCCACAGGGAACAGGGGCAGTGTAAGGGTGACCAGGTCGGGCAGCCACTGAGGCTGTGTGTCCTTCCCTGAGAGCTGTGGGGTGTTCCTGAAGGTGCAGGTCCCTGCAGTGACCTCTGCTGCTGCAGCAGAGTTCTGGTGCAGAGTTCTCACGGTGCAGTTTTGGGATATTTAATTCAGTGCTGCCAGGAAAACAGTCTGTCCCTGCCTCCCCCCTCCCAGCACTTGCTCCCAGCCCTTCCTGCACTGCCCTCACTGCTGCCAGGCACATGGGGGTTGGCAGAGCTGAGGTTTGGCCCTGTAAATCCAGCAGAAGGAAAGGTGCTGTCACAGACAAATGTGCTTCAAAACATCAGGATTGGCATCTAAACAATATCCTTTGAAGGCAAATCCACAGATCCCAAGCTTGCTTTAAACTGGAATCTCATTACAGTCTGCCAGCTGTGGAGCTGAGGGTTTTGCCATGTAAAGTGGCCACAGGTAAATTATTCACTTGTGCTTCTGTTCCTGGATGTCAGTGATTGCTCCTCCTTTATCCCAAATATTCTCATTCCCAGCAGTGAGCCAGCCATGCCCCTAACCCAGAATCATTTTGCAGCTGCAGAATAAGAAAGGGGAAGGGCCAATGTCCTTAGTCACAAGCAAATGTCTTCAGAATTATAATCACATCCCTGCTGAGTTTAACCTGATCCACTGTGGATCTCCAGGAGCACTGAAGGCTCTGTCAGGAAAGGCTGATCTGTGTCACGTGTGTGCTGTCACAGGAACAAGATTCCTTTGGGGATCCAGAGTGGCACCAGCCAAACTACACCCTGAGCTACACTCAGAAAGAAATACTGAGTTCAAATATGAATTATTCCTGCATTTTCATTCAGGGGTAGAATCCATGCTTCTGTTATTAAACTGACAGGCCAAGGCACTTCTGTTTAAGCTTGAAATGGCTGTTTGGGTTGTTTGTGTTTTTTTAATTTGAATTGAGGCAGTTTCAAAAATAGTTTATGTACAAAGGTAAAATTAAAAAAAAAAAAACCAAAACAAAAAAGTTATATTTCTGCATTGCTTAAGATGAGTGAGAGGTTTGCCTTTGGTATAAAATCTGCCAGCTTTTTCCAATCAGTTCTTCATCATTTGGCTGCCTCCCAACCCATTTTTATACTGATCAGTGGTGAAATACTCTTAATAATTCTCTTTTAAAATTTACAGCTCATCATTTGCGGACTGGGAAAAATTGATGTTAATGACTGGAAGGCAAATACCAGGTTAAAACACTGTACCCCAGACAGCAACATCGTGAAATGGTTCTGGAAAGCTGTGGAGCTCTTCGACGAGGAGAGGAGGGCGAGGCTGCTCCAGTTCGTGACCGGCTCCTCCCGAGTGCCCCTGCAGGGCTTCAAGGCACTGCAAGGTAACACCGGGCACGGCTGCAAACGGGGCTGGGGGGCTGCAACGGCGCTTTTTCAGAGCGATTTTAACGGTCTGATTACAATCACAAACGGTCCTTTTTTGGGTGTCTTTCTGTTACCTTGTTATTCAGGTGTAAATGGCTCTTTTGTTTCAGTTCTGCGCTTCCTTCTCTGGCAGGAGTTCTGAGCAGCTGAGATCTTACAGGGGTTCTCCTTGGGGTTGTTCCACAAGCCTGGTTTTTAATTCCTGACTTCTACAAGCCCTCATCACCTGCACAGCTCTGGGACCAGATAACACCTCCTGCTTCTAACAGACCAGATAATACCACCAGTCTTCTTTTAGGCTGAAATGCAGTCACACAGCACAAGCTCAGACTCTTATTTAACAGCAGAGTCCCCATGAGAAACACAGACCCTGTGAATTGTATTTTTAATGTCTGTCTGCCCGGGCCAGGATTCCTGTTCTGCTCAGGTTGGGGCATTTGTAACCTCTCCTGTCCTTTGTGGCATCTCCAGTGCACACCAAGTGTGAAGGATTGCTGTGCTGCAGTCTTCTTTCTTTAGCAGAGAGATTAAAGGGATCTCTAATGGTCAGATAAATTGAACAAAATTATGAGGAATTGGTGTTGTGGCTCCTCTATGGAATTTCAGTGGAATTGGGTGATATTCAAGACCTCTTGTAAAACAAGGACAGGTACAGCTGTGCAAGTTTTGTTGTCTACAAAGAGTGAGAGAAGTTAAATTAAAAACTTAGAATTGTGCATTGCACAGTGTGAAACATTTGATTTATTCTTCTTATCAGTGCTTTGTTCTTTATCTTTCCATGGTTTAAATAACTGCAGGGCTGTCTGTCTGGGCAGAGGGGAGAGTGTCCCACACCACTGAGGGAGTTTGTTTGGAGTTTTCCTGCCTGTTAATGGTTTCACCTTTCTTTGTGCAGAGCTTCTCTCAGTGTTCTAGTTCCTTTCTTATTGCTGCAGTGCCACAAAGACATTTCATGTTGTGCCTCCCAGTAGTGAGATCTCCTCTCCTGCATTCCAGGTGCTGCAGGCCCACGACTCTTCACAATCCACCAGATCGATGCCAGCACTAACAATTTGCCGAAAGCTCACACCTGGTAAGGCTTTGTCAGGTCTCTCTTGTGATCAGTAGATCCAGACCAATCTGCTGTCTGTTTATTTTGAGCAGTCTTAGTTCTTTTTCCCTTTGTCATCCCCTCCTTTTGTGACATAAACTGTCCCTGAGGCAGCAGAGAGAACTCCACTTGCTGGCGTTGAGCTGGAGGTGCGTTGGCCTCGCTCGGCCCTGCTGCCCCTGTTTGCAGTTAGCTGAGGTGGGACAGACCTTTGCAGGTGGTTTTTGGAGCTCAGGCAGCTGAATCCTGTCTGTTCCCCCCTCAGCTTCAACAGGATCGACATTCCCCCGTACGAGAGCTACGAGAAGCTCTACGAGAAGCTGCTCACGGCCATCGAGGAGACCTGTGGCTTCGCTGTGGAATGACCCTTCCCAGCCTCTCCCAGACTCTATTTATACTCCTGTCAGCCAGACAGCCCTTCCTTCCCTCAGCCAAGACTCAAGAAATGCTTGAAATACAGGAAACTTTCCCTTTTCTACACTAGGACACTGGGAGGGAAAGGACAACCTTGGATTTTTTTTTTTTTAATTTTTTTTTTATTATTATTTTTTATTTCAAGAAAATGGGTTCTGTGGTTCCTGCCATAGGATCATTCAGCTGCTATTAAAAACTAATATCTTGAACATACAGAATGCTGACTTTTCCTACATTTCAACAGTTAAGCAGTATTCTATACTTAAAGACTACTACTATTTTTGTAAGAGGTAATCTATTATATTTGCCTACCTGATTTCTATTCTCAGATACCAAGACACAACTTCAGCAGTCGGTACAAGTCACGTTTCAGCCTGTTTTAAATGTATGATACTGAACAGCATCTATACCTGCTATTTTTGGAAAAAAAAATATTTTGGATTATTCTAACTTTGCATAAAATTGGCTGAAAGAATCATTAACCTTTTTAATTAAAGCCACTTACATGTTAACTGCATTTTCTTATAGTAAAACATTATATTCTGCAATGTAAATTCAAGGTAAATGTTGCCACAAGGGGGTTTTTTATATTTTTCAAGCATGAATTCTGAACGTTTTGGGGTCCTATTTATATCACTTGTCAGATTCCTCCAGCAGAATTTCTAGTGGGAGTGACACAGACTGTGTTTGTACAGTCCTGGTGTTAACATGTGGAATAACCTTTTTTAATGAACAGTAGATGTTTGGATTTTTTTTAAAAACAGCCTTTTTTCTAACGAGTCTGTCAAGAGTATTTTTCGTTGCTTTTGACTTTAAATTGGAACACTGCATTTTTCAGCTCTTGAAGAGCTGCTGGGCTTTGCCAGCAGAAGCCTCTGGGCAGTTCCTTTCAGAACCCACCCTGTCCAGTCAACCAAAGTTTGTTTGAATGCAGCCAAATCATGTTCTGTATTTGTTGATGCTAAAGATTTATCAGGTAAAACACGTTGTAATCTTTGTCCAGCTGCTCATGACACGTGGGTTTAAGTTACAACTAAGGAAAAATGGTGTATTGACTGAAATACGTGTAATGTGCTTCGGAAATGGGGTTGTTAGAGCACATAATTTATTGATTGTAGGGATGGAAGTAAGTATATATATGAATTATAACATGGGTTGATCTCTTCAAAGGGGAATAAAATGCACTACCAGTAGAGGGAACTGAACTTTGATGTTAGTTTGGAAATTCTCAGTTAAGATCTGTCTGACCTGCTCGTGGTGTGTGGATAAAGGAGGCTGCTCAAGAGACGGTGCCATTCTCCTCTCAGCCATGAGGACATTTGGGATAAGCAGAGGGTTTTTTCCCAATCAGCGTTGTGGTTTCGTAATTCAGGTTACAATTCATCACCAAACCTGCACTATTTTTACACGGCCAATGAGAAGAAAGTCAGAGGTGTTGGAAATGCTGAAGGGATGGGATGGAAGCAGCTGTTCCATGTTTGCAGTGGAAGTCACAGTGAACCAGCTCATTTTCTGTTTGTTCTGTGGAGCTTGAGCTCAGTTTTGTTCTGCCAAGTCTGACTGCCACAGTGAGTGCACTACTGCTGGATGTTGTGTATTAGAATAGTGGGCAAGGGACTGCTTTTGTAGACTTGTGGTGAGAATCTGGTGAGCCAAAGCCACATGTTCATTGGATTATTTTTTTTGTACAGCTGTTGCTGGCAGGGTTGTTCTGAGGGACTTGTTTCCCATTCCGGGCTGGCTGCAGGGTGAGGCTACTTAGGGATGTGAACAGAAAGCCAAGAGACTTGGTTTGACAGCCAGGTTTGAGATAGATCAGAACCTTTTTTTTAATGTCAAGGGACTCTTGCACTCCTGTTGAAGGGCTGGTGGTGGTTTTGCATCCACGTTGGGCTCCCTAATTCACAACTTCCAGGTAATTCTGGTACCAGAGAAGCTGCTGCTGTGTCAGTCCAGGGGCCTGGGAGAGCAAAGCAGGTGGTTGTTGCCCGGTGTGTTCCTCACTCACAACTCTGCCTGTGGTTGGGAACAAGCTCCAGACCCTCCCAGAGCCTCTGCTCACCCCCTGCACGTGCTGGGGTGTGATGGAGTCACTTCTGACAGGCATTTTACAGACACAGGTTCCTGTGACTCCCCTTCCCAGGACACTCCAGTGTTGTAGAAGTGAGTTTTGTTTTTATTTTCCCCTGCTCTTGCCGCTCCCTGGTCAGGAGAGACATCATGGCAGATGTAAGATCTGGTTTGCTCCAGCTTTTGGGAGAAGTCGGGGCCCTGTGAGGTGACTCAGGGGATTTGTGCCAGACAGCTCAGCCCTGCTCTGTCCCTGCCCTGTCTCCTGACCCCTCCCAGGATCCTGCTCCCTGTTGGCCCCTGAGCCTGGTGGGTTTATTGGACAGAGTTATGGCCACCCTGATGTCATGAGAGCATTTCTGAGGAGGGAGGAGATGAGCTCTGCAGAACACAGACCCGAGGCCAGCCGATGGTTACGTTCATTTTCACAGCAGCCTTAGCAGTACATCTGTTTTTCTACCAAACGTTTTCTTATGGCACAGAGAATTTTTTTTAACTGCCACAGATAAATATTTTAAATTTAATATATTATAGGCAAAGCTAGACAAATCTACATTGGACTTTCCATAGCTGACAGATGAGGATGAATATACCAAGTATTTTGAGTGCCTTTCTACCTTCATAAAGTCTGAGAGCTTTAACTAAAGCACCTCATCACCCAGTCAGATGTTCATCTGAAAATGGTAAAGGGTCGATTCCTTTGCAAAATTTTGTTTTAAGATCACATCAGCTACTTTCCCCTCAAAAAAGGTGCTAAGCCTAATATTGCATTTTAACCTTGGACTTTCACCCCATGATTAATGTGAATATTTATTTCAATGTGTCCCTCTTACTGGGTTTTACTTTATCCAGTCTTAGTTGTTTTAGAGAGATGTCACATCATGGTTTTATGCTGTTGCTTTTCATGATGAATGTTTAATTATGAACAGTGACTTTTGTAGATTTCAAATATACACAGTTGAGTTTCAGAGGATTTAATTTCTCGGTGTAAAGAGTTTTGTAATGGTGCTTTGTACAGTATGTATTCTAATTTTTTTTTTTTGCACATAGTTTCAGTTTCCCTAAACTGATTTATTTGTACCAAAATTTTTTGTGTTGTACTAAAGTCCAGAGCACACTTTTTTTTTTTTTTTTTAAATTGCTGGTCTCCAACACTACATCTGTATTGAACTTCTGGTGCATTTGAACTGGCTGCATTGATGGAAGTCAAAGCTTTGCTTCTCTGTCATCCTCCAGCTGGATGTAGCATGTTCTGATGGCTTTGGGTTTGAAACAGCACCACACCATTACCAGGTGCCACTGGTTGAACTTTACACTATGTAGTAAGTCCTGGCTCTACCACATCCTCAGAGCTTTGTCTGTAGTTGTAATTAGTTTATCCAAGTGTAATTACTCCTCCACAAACTGACAGTTCTTAGTTTATCATTTCCATTGTATTTATTACCGAGTGTTTTAGCGTTGGTATCATTGTATTTTCACCCAGCTGTTACATGAGCTTTAACAACAACAACAAACAAAATCTGTATAAAATGGTTTTTAAGTACTTAATGTATGTACCCATGCAGAAGTTGAGCAATAAATTGTATGCTGTTTGCACTGTCACAGCATCAATGGTTTTAAAAGTTTGAAGTTTTTATTAATTAAATCTTTCAAATGTAAAATGTCATTTTTAAGTAACTCAACTTTGTTTCAGGGGAAAACATGTAAAACTTGGTGTCTTTCTGTGTGCTGGTACCTACAGAAAGGACTCTCTCAAGAACAAGAATGTTCTAGACTAGAACAAGAACGTTCTAGTCAAGCACAAGGTCTCACTTCTGGCTCTCATGTCCTGGCATTATCTTGGCATTGGTGAACAGATGGCTCCTCTCAAAACTCAGCAAAGCTAAATCACCTTCCTTCAGGGGAAAAAAAAGGTAAATTTGGTAAATACTTGCTAAATTTCATCAGCTTAGTTGGTAAGTGTTGTCCCTTAGAGACTTCAAGTCAGCCAGGCTTAAAGCAACTCCCTGGAAAGGGTTGTAAAAGGCAGGGTTTGTGTTTCTGGGTTTTGCTGTGTGTTTTTTGGGTCTGTATTTTTGAGGTGAAGTATCTCATGCTCTAACTGCTGGCTGGTGTGTTTAATCTGTAAAAGAGGCTTCTCCAGCTGCTGAGGTCTTTTTTTTTCCTGTTTAGTTCTTTTTCCTTTCAGTGCACGAGTCTGAATTCCCTGAGCGTGTTGTCAGTTCCATCAGACACCACCTCATGGCAACCTTCAAATATTGTGAGTATAATGCAATTAATAACTATATCTCTGTCACTTCTCACACAGCAGTTTTAAGCAAGAACTCTCGTGTTTAAAATTAAACTTTAGTACATCCTCATTACCAGGATAAACTACTTAAAAGTCTAAATTTTGTCAGGCAGAGGAGACTGTATCAGTAATGGTCACAGGGTTCAGCTCTTGCAGAAGCTCATCTTTTACTGCTTTAGAAGAATCTTCATTGTTTTCTATTTCAAACTACTTTTCTCCCAATGCATTTGTAGCATGGGGGGAGTATTTTATGTGCCTTTATTTTGTGCAGGCCAGCAACACCAACACTGCAAACACAGTATTGAATGGAAGAAGTAATGGAATAAGAGTCAGTCCTCCCTCACTTAGTGTATCTGAGTCAGGTTTATTGCAGCCATTCTCTAACTTGGCCTTTCACAGGAAACTTGAACCTCTGATGTTCTTTTAAAGATCTTCTTGTTCTTTGTGAGCTTTCCAATCTAGTAACTTCTGGCTAATGGTGTTAGTGTGGCTTAGCAACAACAGCCCCAGCACAGGTGCAGAGGAGGCTCAGCATCCAGCTGTTCCACCAGGATAAAGCACTCTGACTCCATCCCTCTGCCTTTGGGTAGAGCTCAACATTATCCCAGCCTTGCTAAGAAGGTAGAAAGTACTTCAAAAACTTTATTGGTGACCATAAAAGTGCTGTGGGGATCCCAGTTCCCAGCAGCTACACCCCCGACAGGTCAAAATGACAGACCAAATGTTCTGGAGAAAAAAAAAGCTACACATCATCTTCCCATTACAGCAGCTCAGAGAGTTTCATCATCTTAGCCAGTGACATTTACCTAAGTCTTAAAAGAAATGGCCTTGGCTGTACTGGAAGGAAGCCATCTGAAGTCTAGACCTCAGTCTGTCTGCTTCTAGTTCTTGAAAAAAGGTGTCATCATCATTGTGCATGATTGCTGCTTGCAGTTGCTGTATTTCCTTTTCCATCTTTGATCTTAGCTCTCTTTTTGATTTCTGTAGCATCTATAAAAAAACCCCCTGACATTAGCCACAGCATGTAAAAAGAAAACACAACGAGACAAAATTGAGAAGACTTACCTGTGCTTGTGCTTTCTCCCTGGTTTGGATTTTTTGGAATTCTTGAGATATAGCTTCTGCTAGCATGGCAAACTAAGCATAAGACATGTGTGAGTTGAACCAATTAAAGAAAAGAAAGACTTCTGATGTAAAAATATGAGCTGCCTGAGGCAGATCAAGCTTTACCTGACCCTTGTAGTAGTTCTCCATGGACTCCAGCTCGTTCTGGTGTTCCCTCCGTTGCTCATCACGCTTCTCCTGAGCGTATGCTCTCAGGTCCCTCAGTCTTTGCTTCTGAATTTCTAAGCCTTCTTCAAACAAGTTTTTAAATATCTGCCAGCAATTAAGAAAAGCAAACCTGAAACTTTCCCAGAAACCTGTAAGTATACGGTTACAATTTTCAGCTGCTGCATCTCCTGCTGGAATGGTGATCACAGGAGGACAGGCCACTGCCCAGGAAACAGTCCAGTTGTGCAGCTAGGAATGGTGGTGCAGATACAGCTGGGCTGGGTTTGTATTACTCATTTAGCTGAAATTCTGGGAGATAAAATCATTTTTTTGTGTCAGGTTAGTCATATGACCCGACAGCACAAGCCAGGGCCTTTGAACATGCACTGTGATTTACAGCCCACCCTGCATTCTGAGTCTAATTTCAGGACCTTCATCCAGATTTCCAGCAGCAGGAAATCCACTCTGGACTCAGGCTTTCCATTTCTACACAAGAACACTTACCAGCTGTAGCTCACAGCTTGAGGCAAACAGTTCCCAAATCACTAACAGTGGATTATGCACTAAACTTCTAATCTTTTATTTTAAAAGGTGACAGTTTTGTATCTGCTCTTGCAAAGTCTAACAGCTCTCCTTGCTTTCCTTCTCCCTGATGTCCAGCCCTAATTAGAGATCATATCTGTCACAAAGTCCACTTTGTTTAACAAACACAACTGAATAACAAAGTTGCTGTTTGATCATCATCTTAACTGAAGATTTAGATTGTTTTCTTTGGATAGTAACTATAGGAACAACTTCTTAATCCTACTATTTCTGAAAACTCATTTCCCCAATTTCTCACGTTACCAGCCCTGTTTTTCCATACTAATACTTCACCTTCCTCTCCTTTTAACCTGAAGAAGCTTTTCTTATTCCACAGGGATTTGCCCTACACTGTATCCATGTTTCCAGAGGAGGAACTGTGTCATCAGTGACTGACCAACCACTTAATCCTGGCTCTGCTCTGGTCACTTCACTTGTTCTCTACTTGTAGGATTAGTTGAGCTACTGGATGAAGGGTGCTCAGCACTGGGGTGCAAACACAAAGGAATTGCAGAGCAGGAATCTTGTCCTCACCTTCTCCTCCCGTGTCCTGGCTCTCATCAGCTTGGCCCTCAGCTGCACCCTGTAATCCTCGTAGTATCTCCTGGCTCGAGCCACTTGCTGCCGTTTCTCTGTCACTTTGTTCTGAGCCCAGAGCTGGCGGGAGATGCGGGTCTTGAATTCGTGCTAAAAGGAGAACAAGCAGCTGTAAGACCAAACTGCCAACAGGTATTGCTTTGTTAATCATTGCTAATTAATTAGGGTTCTTCCCCACACCCCAGTTTTACACTGCAGTTGTGGTTTAAAGCTTTAGTCACCACTGGTGTAGCACAGTAGAGGCACTACAGAATTTTGGAGTCAGTGCTGCCGTGGGAGCTGCAACACCCAGAGCCTCAAGGTTCTCTTCCTTCTAGAATTTGACCTTTTAAAGCAACAATGCACTGTAATAAAAATAATAGTCCATTCCCATGACCCCAGTAGCCACACAACAAACATCACATGGCATTTGAGACCACAGCTACTCAAAAGGCATAAAACTGTCATAAGATAAAAAGCCACTTTCCTGACCAAGGAATATGCATTCTAGGTAGCTCACCATGAATGTATTATGTAACAAATACCCTCCAAAGAACATACCAGTCTCCTGCTGTGCTCTTGATCTTTTTTAATAATTGCAGCAAGAAGCTGTTGCTTCCTCAGGGCTTGTTGAACCTGGAGGTTTAAAAAAAAAAGCTGATTATTTCCATCATTCTGCAGGACAAGCTGTTGTATATTGGAGGTTTAAACATTGCCCCTCTGCTGTGTTTTGGTCTTTATGTTGGGAGTTACCTCATAGAAGTTAATCAACTTTTGTATCTCACAACTAACCTTTAAACTAAGACTGTTCAGAACTAGCACTTGAAACCACAAAGTGCTTTTAAAAAGGCAGTAGCAACCCCAGGCAGTACTAGAGAAACAAGGATAAAAAAAAGACTATTATATTCCAGTGGCTGATAAGTTGAATCCATGTCTCTAAATTTGTGCATCCCTGTTTAACCCAGCTCAGACATCCAGCCCTTCACGGTGTGCAGGTGCCCTGTCTGTGCTGCACATGGCTGCTGATGTTGTGTCAGGATTTCTCTGCTGACACTCAGCAGGTAAAAGGAGAACACTCACTTCATTTAGGAGTTTGGGTCTAGGTCTGCCAGGAGCTGCCTGCAGGTGCTCTGTCTGTGCAAGCTGCCGCTCCCACATTTTATTCAGGGTGCGGTGGGAAATGTGCAGGGAGGGAAACTCTTCCAGCAGCTTCACCAGGAGGTCATTGTCCCTTATCATCACTGTAAGGTAAAGACAGATGCAAGCAATAAATTCCTGCAGAATACATTTAGTGGTAAATTTGTCCAGACTAAGTTATGAAATATTTTACATTCAATTCTCTATAAAATACCATCCTGCTGTTACAGTGTCAGGCTGAACCCAGCAGGACATAACATCATCCTGCCAGTCCAGCAGCAGAGACTAATCCCAACCTTCTGTTGTTTTTTCTGAAGAATTGCTTTTAGAGCTCAGGTGTTATTTCCCTCCCACCACCACATACATTTAAGACATGTATCCCCCTCTTTCTTCATCTGGTTCTGACCATTACTAATCAGTGATTTCTTCAGCTGTGTCTCTCTCTCTGGTTACAGCAACTTAAAATAATGCCAACACCACAGGAGTAATGACAGATCCAGGTCAAGTAAACAAGTGCAAAATAAACTGGTTTGCAACCAGCTCGTTCCCAGTACATCTTTGATCTTTCTGGCAGGAAAAGATGATGGGGAGATGAAACAAAAGGGTATTTACCAAGTACATGCCCTTTAAAAACTAGAAAAAAAATCAGGCAGCGTAGCTGAGCAACACCCAGGCATGTAGGGGATCCATAAGCACACACAGTGCTGGTTACCAAAACTGAGCCTGGGATTTGCATCCTGGCTGTTCTTGGAGCATCACCTGCCCAGCAAAACCAGTGGCAGCATTAACAGCACAATGGCAGGGTCCTGACAGATCCTCCCCTGTTACCTGCACGTGGCTCAGCTCAAGCCAAAGGCCCAATTTTAAATCTGATACATGCCCAGAAAAAGAACAGAAGGAGAGCTCAGACTGTAGTGGAACAAGCACAGGAGTAGCAGTAATGGAAACAAGCCCTGAAAATAATCCAAAGGATTTTAAGGAAGTAGCAAATGGGTCACAGTTTGATTGTGCATTGATGGCTTACATTTACTTAGAGCATTATCTTCCCTAACAAAAATCCAGACATATAGAGGTCAGAAGAAGGGGAAAATGCTGCAGCTGCCTGGTATATGTTGGACTGGTGCCTTTATTCTTGGAGTTCAACACATGCTTTCAAAAGATGCCAGTTTTCCACCAAGTATAGTTTTGCAGTTCTTACTTGGATCTGCTTGCTTTGGCTTCATGGCCCCTCGTTTTGGAATCCACTGGCTGTATTTGGGAATCCGAGGTGTGGTTTTTCTAGAATAAACTTTCACTGGCTGAGACACTTTTGGAGGTTCTTTAAAGATGTTTTCTTTGTATTCTTGTTCCTTAGGAGCAGATGTAAAACAGATGGAGAACAGGTATGAAAAGGGAAAGACTGATAGAACACAGTTTGGCCTTCAGAGCTTAAATGTCTTTGAAACTTTAGAGTGAGAACTTGGACATATTGCACTGGGTTCTCCAGAAGGCCAGAATTCACCAAATGCAGGTCAGGGTTCAAATAAAGGTTAAATATCATTGTTGCATAACCTCAGCTCTTCTGCAGCACTTAACACTGCTAAGTCACTACTTCAGTAGTACACAGTGCTGTAACTGTGACAAGTTACAAGGGGTTTTTGTACCCAAAAGTGCCTGCACAGATCATCCAGGCAGATTTGAAAGGGAAAAAACTAACCAAACAAAACACAACCAACAATCCCCACAGTGCATCACCTACAATTTCCCTGAGGACTTCTCTGAGCTTGCAAAGTTTAAGCCTCTCCTTGGCTTCATAAATCCTTAGTTCATCTTCATAAGCTTTATTGACCACCTAGAAAATAAAAACAGAAGGACTTGTCAGAGGAAATAATCAGTCCATACAACCAGCTCATTAACTTGTGTGCTGTGTGGGTCAAAGGAGCTTCTTCCACTTTAAACTCTCTTTTTTTGCAAAATTTGGGGTTTAAAGTCTCTTCCTCAGCAGGTACAGATACAACAGCATATGATTACTAAAGGGGTCAGATTCTCCATCAGGTAAGAGCATTTTTCATGGGTTTAGCATAACTGTTGGTAAGAATTACCACAAAGTCTAACCTAGAAATTACCTTTGCTTTCCTTGTTCTTTCGTCCCTTTCTTTTTGCAGCTGGCAGCGGATTGTCTTTATATGTTCATTACCACAAAGTTTATCTTCCTGGTGCTGATATAAACGTGAGGGTGGAGAAAGGGATCGAGGCCTGTTTGGGTACCTTGGAGCTAATTTGAGACCAAAAAAAACAGTGAGGTGTAATTGTGAGCAGGCCCTCATTTCAGAACCACAGTCCTGGGAGCTTGTATTCTGTCCCTCCCCCCACTTGGTGTATGTTTTTTACTGCAGCTGTGTTTGCCTTGTATTTTTGGTACAGTTTTACCATAGCTATTTAAGTGTTAAATAGGAACTTGGTTGTAATTCTGTTAGTGTTGCTCAGGTTTGGATCAGAGACAAAATATAAGTGAACAAACAATACAAAACTTAGTAATCGACTCTGAGTAATTCAGTGTATCAGCTTTACATGGAAAGGGGTTTTTTATATTCTTTTCCACCCCAATACTTAACTGGCATCAGAATGGTTACCTCTCCCAGCTGTCCTGTGGCCATAGTCCATGACACTGTCACTGTGCTGGGACAGGTTGTCTTCATCTGTCAGCTCCTCTCTGCTGCACTCACCCAAAGCTCTCTTTAACATCTAAGGGATACATGTTTTTTTGAGGGGGGTCAGGTTCAACAGACAGTTCTAAATTTTGAATGAACTAAAGCCAGAGTTAGCTGTGGATTTTCATTTCATCCATGTTAAATTTATATTCTTCTCTCCACTGTCATGACTAAAGCCAGCCTGCTCAGCCCAACAAAGAGATTTCACTTACTAAATCCAGTTCGTTGAGCCTGCGAGACAGGTTTTCTGATGCTTCATGAAGCTCTTGCTCAGGAAGCTTCTTCTGTGCTGGTCCCTGGGAAAGGGAATCTTCAAATGAATCTGTGGTAGAATTTTCATATCTGCTAAAAAAAAAACCAAACCAGATTTCAATTCTATACTAAAAACTTGAAGATAAGCATTATCTCACCCAATTCCCATTCACTTTTTGCATAAGCACATTTTTATAGGATTAAGTAGAAGCTGGATGTGTAAGTGCCTATAACTATATTTAAGAACATGAATATATGTCAAGAGAAACAGGAAATCTTTCTATTAACATTAATCTTTCACTGTCACACAGCCAAGGAAGAAGAGATCTTATTCAAAAAGGAGAGTGGGGCTGGATGGCCATGGAAATTAAAGTACTAGTGTGGTTCAAGACCAAAAAATTGAACTTGCCTTGATGTTCTAGGCAGGTACCTGGATTCAGGTCTTGGAATTTGTGTTAATTGTTCAGCATGTAGTGAGGATTTTTCATCTAAAGAGGACACAGATGTAGAAGGCTCAGGTACTAGAGGAACCTAGGAAAAGTAGTAAATTGATATTTTATTAAAATCTTATAGATCACATGAGTAGAGAGATGATACAACAGCTTTTATAGAATCATCTCAAACCCTGTGGATACAGACATATAAAAATAGCTATATTTCCAGGTCCCTGACTGAAGATAGTGTGCTTAAGAGAAATAATGTTTAAAGCAATAGAGCAGCAAAAATGTAGAATATCAGTTCAAGAATCATCTACAGCTCAGCCAGTGAACCAGAACAAGGTCTAGGTTAAGTGGTGAGTACCCCTCATTAGCCTGGGACTGATGCCAGGCAATGGAAATAAGCTGAATTTCACTGAGTACAGACTGAGCTGCAACTCACAGAGAGCCAAAAGAGAACATTTGTGTCCTTGTGCCACTTAGTTACACTGGTTTGGTACTGCCTGGTAACTTCTCTGTTCAAGCAGGAGCAATTTGGGGTTGCCATGCATGGACTTGCACAGGCACCAATGGAAAAAGAGTTTCAAACAGAGACAATGTTTTAAACAGACAATGCAAAAGTAAAAGCTGTTGAAACTATAGGAACAAGTGGAGTCTGTGAGTACCTCTTGTGGTTGCAGAAGGCAAAAATAGTGTTTCCAGAGCAAGAAATTTCCTATGCAGACACATTTCTATGGGCACAGAATGGCATCTGCTGATCCATTTGTGGGCTTTGCATTATTCAGTTTTTGAAAAGCAAAGGACAAAGCAATAAAATGAAATGAAACAATATAACCAGGCAGTACAGTGATCTTTATAAGGGAGTAAATAAATCTAAGTTTTATTGGAGGTTGAACAACCCCAAAATCCTAAAATTCTTACTAATTTAGAATGCTGATACACTTCAGAGAAAGGATGTGACTATACTCTTGTGTTTTGTGTATTTTTGATTAAAAGGCAAGATAACTAGTGACTGGTTGGTTGTGTTAAATTAGAACTCTCTGGGTGTTGGCTCATGCACTTTTTGGAACAAACAGCTCCAGAAAGAACTAAGAACTGATGTGACTTACAAACTGTACATAGTCATAGTCTATCAACACTGATTGTATATTGAGGAAAGCAAGACTAAAGCAGGTTTGAAGCAAGCCCAGAAGTGCCACAAGATACCAGGAGAATTAAGCAGAAATCCAAAAATAGTGAATGAACTTCCATAACTAAAGATGCAACATGTACCTTTATCACACTGTCCTCAGCATCACCTGATCCCACTGCAGCAGATGACAGGTAAGTGTGAGGTGATGCTTCAGGCTGCACTGTGCCTTCTGATGGGGGGAACAAGGTAAAACAAGGTGTGAGCCATGGCCTTTGCACCCAAAGAGATATTCAAAGAGATACTCAAAGAGAAGAGAATGACAAAGCAACAGTGGTGACACAGTTGTGACATTCCTTTTGGTAATCTCTGAGTCCTCAGTGCTCGGTGTCATGGCAGTGCTATGGAAACTGGAAAGGTAAGCAGTGTTTCCCAGGCAACAGAGAAAATGAGTCCTGAAAAAAACCAGCTTCTAAAGCTTTTCTACAATAGCAGTTCATGGGGTTTTTTTGCTTAGAGTTGAAACTGGCTTGTTTGGTCCATGTTTCTCTGCTCAGAATAAGCTCAGCCATGGGAGTTATGTGCTGGAAGAGATTTCTGTAGTGCAGGCCCATCTTAACGGGATTAACTAAGAAAGGAGTTGAACTGAGGACATGGATTACTTTTTTCCAGCACAGGGAAAAGATTAAAAGTAACCTATTTTTGTTTCTCTATAAAACAGAGATAGAAATATGAACTTGTGGCTGCAATGCACTACTAGTTTCAAAACCATGTTTCTTGTGGTGCCAGTAAAAATAAATGCAATGTTTGATACTTAAGAGTTCCCCCATAGGAAGCAAAATTTTCTCTCACCAGGGGTCTTTCTTGATAGAAGGAGACTACCAGAAACAACATCAGATTTTTCAGTAGGTGACTTTTCAAGCTGAAATAAAAAGCAACATGTGTTCTATAAATTCACAGGAGAGTGCTGACAGGAAGGTCATACATTAGGTTTGTCTGCAAATGGAAACCAATGCTGATTTTATAGTAGATAAAAATCATCATAATTATTTTGTTTGCTATATTGTCAACTGTGCAGTTACATTGATTATGGGGATGTGTATGTATATGTGTATAAAATAAGCACACCCCTCAAAATAAATTCCTCTCTGGACACTTAGTGAAGAATGAATCCACAATCCAAAATTCTTTGAACTGAGATAAACTCTGGCACATTCAGAAGTGTTCTTCAGAGACCAACTACTCCCATTCTGCAAGTGAACTAGGTTTTAAAATGAAAGCAGTATTGGTTACTAAAAAAAAAAAATAAAAAAATAATCAAAGGATAGGTTTTTCCTTACAGTAGGAATTTTCACTCCCTGACTGCTTGCCAAAGCTGCTGCCTGTCTGTCTGAGCTGTGGTAATCTCTCCATCCAGGATGTGAAGGCTGGAAGGGGGGGAGCAGAGGAATGGCTTGCTGGATGGGCTCCCCCAGTTTTGTAGCACTGGCACTCAAACCCTCTTTGTGAGGCTCAGCAGCATGAACAGACTCCATCCATCCTGAAGAGACACAAACAAAGAACTTGAGGTGTAATCTGTGAAAGCAGGACATGCTTTTGTGTACTGTCTATAAATTTTAAAGGGAAGTATCTAAATATCTAATGTTAGCTGCCATCTTAGATGGTATAGGACAGTACTGTAACATTTCTATGCCTTTAGAACACGATTTTGGATGTGAGGATCTTCCACTAGGACTTTTTACTTTCAGTATTTTTCTTACTGAACCACAAAAGAAAAAAAATCCCAAGCCACAATTAAAAAAATCCTGGCTGAAGCCAAATCCCAGCTAAGCAGAAATACCCCAGGATAATGAAACTTTGCATGCTCTGGGACACTAAAATATCATATTTCTGAGAAGAATTTAAGTGTTTCTATCCATTACTAAAGTTCTCCTCTGCACTACCTTAGTTCCCTACACCTATAAGTCAAAATCAGGTGTATGAGCTGTCAGAACAATCAATACTCACCATCTTCCTTTCCAATCTCACCTTCAGAGAACTGCCTGGGCAATGTTGCAAAAGCCTCTGAGCTTTTAGATTCTTCCACCCCCTTGTCCTTTTCTGCCAGTAACAGTATAGGAAACTGAAATTCTAGAAGTGAATGTTGAAAAAGATTAAATTAAGATCTATAAAGCATCTTGAGATGGACAATTTTCTTGTCTGCTACATTAATTACTTGGTGTCAGCAATCCATACTATGATCAAAATAGGTCTGTTAAATTCTTACTTGTAATTCCAGTCAATGAAATGTTCACAATTCGTAATATTCCTTTATGCTTCTACTTGAAGAGATTAACCACCAATAAGAATAGGAATATTGTTACAGGAAAATAGGAAATAAGAATGACCTCCCTTCAAGTTGTCTTTATATTTTTTGTTTCAGAGCCACCCACAGTGCTTTGAAGTGGCACCCACACTCCTAACAAGTCTTCTTTGAGAATGAACTTTAGTAAGTCTTTTTACAGTCCTAAATAATCTTATACTGCAATAAATCAAATAAAATCAAGTCTTCAGAATTCTCCTATTCTACTGAACAAGACAAAATGCCTTTGGAGCAGAACTGAACTAGAAATCAAACAACAAACCTTTATCCGAATAATGTGGCTCAGGAGTCATGAAAAATAGTGTCTGGAACACTTACTTTCAGAAATTTTAACTTCAGCAAGATCAACTACAGGTATTATGTTTATTGTGGGTTGGTAAAATAAGAATTTAAAACAGTATTTGCCTGGAAGAAATAACTTTGAAAAAAAGAAACAACAAAAAAAGCCTATAAGTGTTACTAGAGAGTGGTCTTAAATGTTTTTTCACCCAAACTCACCTTCCTCTCTCCTGGAAAATGAATGAGCAGTGTCTCCAAGTCTAATCAATTCACCAGTAGATTCTGAGCCATCTGTATCACAGGTTAGAATGAAATGTTCTGACTGGGACCTAAGGGGAACATAAAGCCATGAAATATTTACTCTCAAAGTCTCTGCCCCTTCAGCCCACGAGATGGAGCTGCAGAAGAGCTGTGACACCAGACAGTGGCTGTGACAGTGTGGGACAGGAGCCCTCCTTCCACAGGACAAACCAAGGTAGGAGTGCCCAAGACAAACCAAATTCAGTGTCACTAAAATACAATTCTTTAGAACTGATTAAAGTTTGTAAAGTAAACTTAAGGGAAACAAAATGCCATCAGCACTCTTCCAAGAAAAGTTCTGGATCTAATTTTAGCCCTCTTGCTGCCTGACCAAAGGAGAGTTACCTCACATTCCATTTGATATATGTAATCAGTGTGTTTCCACACTACTAAAAACTTACTAGTTTCTCTACAGGTACACAAAGATGGTCAATCTCTATGTCAATGCAAATATTCAGATGTGTTCTTACCCTCCAGCTGATGAGACTATTGAATGTTCTGTAAGTTGACCAGCATTGCTTTCCAGCTGCTCTTTAGCTGCAGTTTGAGTTTCATTACTGGACAGCACATTTGCCTCAGCTGTTAATAACCAAGAGGTGATTATTTTCAGGAAAACTACTTCCACCTATAAACTAAGAGCTATTAGTTCCAACATCACTAAAACAGTTTAAAGTAATGAAGCATTACAATGGTAATATCTAAATTGCCACGTAATGCTCCCTCTTGGGAGGGGCACAACTTGCATGGTGAGTTTTGAAAAATTACAGCACTGTCACATATCCTATTGTTCCCATTATAAATAAATCTTCCTTCTTCCTCAAAAGAATTAAGTCCTGTACTTACAGCTAGAAAACTGGAGCCACTAACAGGGTAACAGCAGTGGCAGTCTGAGGGAAGGGAAAAGCAGAAGTACAGGCACTGAAAATTGCTACTGTCCTTTTCCTGCCATCCACTGTGGGACAGGACAGGAGGGAATTGTCTCAGCCACCAAGGGCTCTCCCCTTTTCTCACAGGGTGCAACAGCCAGTGGTGACAGTTCTTATCAGCCCTAAGACAGGGAGACCAGTGCTCAGGCTGCACTAAATGCCTCTGCAGGGCTGAACAGCTTCTCTTCCCATTCAGAATTTTCCTCAAAATAACCCCTGCTCTGGGTTTACTCCCAAGACCCACCTCACTTGTCTGCCAGTAAGTAAAAGAGACATTTGCTCATTGTTCCAATTAAAGCCAACATTTCCCTCCCTGAATCCTAATCCTAAATCATTTGACTGACAGGCTGAAAAGCAGCTAACAGAGGATGAATTGTCTAGAGTAGGTTTCTGCCACAAGAATGAAGCAGAAAGATAACGTACTCCAATTCTTAACAAGTTTTGGGGGAAATTATTTTGTTATTGTTTATGAAAATAAGGAATGCAAACACTCAGTTTGGCCACTGAAATTTCCTCCCTCATGGTCAGTTTGTCTTTCTCCTTTTCTGCATTGTCAAGGTTATAAATAAGGGAAAAACACCAAATAAATCTTTGCTACATTGGAAACACTTTGGGTTTACATGTCTGCTCACCTCCAGTGCCAGAAGAAGATTCACTGGCTTCTGTCAGATACTCTAACAAACCATCAAATATTTCAAGGAGATTTTTGATAGATTCCCTCTCTCCTTTCACAATGTTCTCACCTGAAGAGAAGGTAATGACACATATTAATAATTAGTACTTCACAAAAGAAAAATTCTCTAAGTTTTCTGGAGGAGAGTGCTTGGGAATTCTTGTGAAGGTGTCAGCTCAGAAGACAACTGATCACTTGTTTATGTCTACACATCTAAGCTGGTATCTTTTAGCATCCTAAATTTGCATATTTTCAGTTCTATTAAGTGAAAGTTTATTGATGCAATAACTGCTTCCATGCACAAGAAAAATATTCAGGGAAATTTTCCTCTTATTTATTCTCTGCTTGCTGTTTCAATTTATAACCTGATGTCCAAGGCAAGGGTTCAGTGTTCTGATGACATTCACTATGGGACAAAGACCTTCATGCAAGTATGAAAGCATGCTGTATAACACGTGGTTCTTGTAAATTATTCCAATTAAACCACACAGATACTCAGCTGGTGTTTGTCTCATTAAAACAAATACTTACCAGTGATGTGAGACAAGCTGACCTGCAAATAGTCCAGTGCCAGGGAATCTATTACTGCTTGTACATTATGTGCATCATCCTCTTGGCTCCTGGGAGTAGCTATGAAATCTGTTTTAAGAAATAATAGATTTTAGGCTATCCAAATGGCCAGCTTATTGCAGGTACTTTAATTAAACTACTCTAATTTCTGCTTACAAATTAGTATTTTTTTCAGGACCTGGTACTTGGTGAAAAGCCCAAATATCATATGGTTACATGAAATCTTTCAAAAATACGAAACACAAACTTTTTTCTTTTTTTTTTTTTTCACTACAGAATCCACAGAGACAAAAATAAAAAGATTTAAAAATTATCATTCCTACCTGGTACTTTTTCTCCTAAGATTGACTCGTAAAGACAAACAAACACGTCAGCACCACATTCTGAGAGATGCTTTATGTGCAGGTTTATGTGACAGCTCCTTAAAAGATCATTGGCAACATCAACCCAATCTATTAAGAAGTAAAACATATTAATGTCAGAACTGAAAGACACAGAAATAAGGACATGGTTAGTTAAAGATGGAGCCCCTGTAAATGTCTTTGACTCCACCAGAGGTGGTCAAACTCAGCCAGGCCATTCCAATCACCCAAAATATTGAACATATTGTACAAGCACAGTCACAGCACAACTGGACTTGGGAGCTGAAGGGCACTAAAGTACCACAGGCTGGGCAGGTTATGTTTTTCTTTCATATAATGGAAAACAAATTTGGATGTGGCCTCATAGCCAGGAATTCCAATCCTTGAAGAATTTATGAAGCTTTGATATGCTGTTTATCAATAATCAGAAATGACATGTACTCTCTTGAAAAGCAGGAGCTTCTCTTACAAGCCCAGGTTCTCTAATACTCTTAGGCAATGATATCACTGCGAATGTAAATATTCCCCAGGAAAGCTAGATTCTAGGATTACTTTTATTAGTTTTTTAGGGATTACAAGAACATGGAGCTGGTCCCACCAACTTCATTCTCTGACGAGTACAGTGAGATGTGCATTAACAGCCTGATTTTCCCAAAACTTTGAGTCCTGGATTCAAGGTGCTTTGAGGTACATGTATGCTCTGCTTTCTTCCTTGTCACCCAGTTCAAACATCAGCTTAAAGACTTTAGTTCTTCCATCTCCCTTAGCCTGTGATCTCTTAGAGTTGGATTCCCCCCCCCCCATGCTGCTTTTGCAAATCAGTGTGGTATTTTAGCAAGTATTAAGGACTTTAATTGTTGGAAAAGGGATCTGTCATCTTTGGAAGGAAAAAGTATACAGTTACTACAACAGAGACTAGCTTGTACAGTTTTTTCTCTTCTTTATATAGAGAGTGTTACTTTTCCATCCATTTACTCTTCCATCAGTTCCAGACATCACTTTATTTAAGCATGTTAATAATTTCAGGTGGATGAAAGGTTAAAGTAACATCCCCTACAGTTCAGGCTGATGTCCTGGAAGACTCCACTTATTGTTCATCTCCAGCTTTATTAATTTAAAAGCGCCACCGGGGAGAGGACGGAGAGATTAACATAAAGAGCTTTAAAAACCACAACACAAGGAAAAGACAGCTGCAAGGGACTGAATAAACCAGTGCCAGTGATGCGAGCAGCTGGAGGGCGACGAGGTAGAGAGGAGGCGGCTCCCCGGCGCCGCGGGACCGGGACCCGCCCCATCGCAAGGCCGCGCAGCGAGGGACCGAGCAGGGACACGGCAAGCCCCGGGGAGCAGCAGTCGGTGCCCTCAGGAGCCCTCGGGGAGCGGTGGTCAGTGCCCCGAGGGAGCGCGGCCCTACCTGTGCCCTCAGCGCTGCCCATGGCGGCACCAACGGCCATCCGCCCCCGCCATTTAAATCGCGTCCCGCGCGCTCATTGGGAGGGCGGCGCAGGAAAAGGCGGGGCCACCCGCCACGTATGCCAAGGGAGGGAGCTGTCCCGGTCCCTGGGGTTGTCCTGGTCCCGGTTCCTGTCCTTGTCCCGCTCTGCGGGCGGTGTTTTCAGTCCCCTCACAGCTCCCCCCGATCCCCTCCGGCCGGTGCCGCAGCCCCCTGAGCGCTCTGCGCAGGACCAATCAGCCCCGGGAGCGCCTCTGGCTTCCGAGGGCGCTGCCGCTGTAAAATGGCGGCGGTGCGTGTGGGGGGGGCCCGGGCGGTTCCGCCTCCGTCACCTGAACCGAGGCGGCTGTGGGCGTTTTCTCGGTGAAATAGGTGGGGAGAGGCCGGCCTGGCGAAGGTTCCAGCACTTGACCTTTTGGCCGTGGCCTGGGGCATTTGCCGGCCGGTGTGTCTATTATCGGGATTTGGTGTTAATTGCCAGGTGATCCAGGTTTTCATGGCTTCTGTGCATGGAAAGAGTGTTAAAACCTTTATTAAAAACAAGATTTAGAACGGTTTGCCTAGTGAAACTCACTCTATTAGCTGTTAGCATACAGGTTTTTGGGAAGGCCGGATGGTGAAAATGTGTTATCTTCCTCACTGAGCAACAGTATTCCACATGCTTCTTAAGAATTCTGGAATTTCCGTGTTGCATCAAGTCACGCAAAGCTAGGATAAAACGGTGCCCTTTGTCCTTAAAGTCCTGGAGCATGAGAGAAGCAGCTGAGATCCCAATTATGGCTGTGAGAACAATGACTGGCAGCAAATAAACCTCAGCGATGTGAGCTCCAGCAGCCCCCGGGTGTCATGTGTAGATATAAATCCAAATCCACACATCATCTTAGGAACACAAAAGAGCTTTTGTGCAGGTAAGCAAACACATCAGTGCTATGACGCTAAACTAAACACGGATTGCAGTTTGATACACATACAGCTCTGTGAAGCTCTGTTTTGTTTCCATATATTGGCTCAAATTAGGAAGAGAAAACAGGAAAATCGATGGTGTTTAACTTGGGTGGAACAGAAAAATGAGGAAGTTTTTCACAAAGGAAATCGAAAGGAGTTCCTTGCAGACTAAATGCTTGCAGGCAAGGCAGAGGCGAGGCTTTTGTTTAGTCTTTTCAATTCTTTAAAACCTTAGAAAGATTAAACAGCACAGAAACAGGAGCCACCATTATACACAAACAAAAAAAATCAAATTAGCTGTGTTAAAATAAATGTAATAGAACAAGAAAAACTCAGATAATTTGTTATTTTTGCAGCCTTTGCAAAAACCTTTTTCAGACTCCTCAGAAACAGGAAGTCTGTAGGGTCAGTAGGCATAGAGTGTTAAGCATTTTGGGGAAAAAGTCTTTCAAAAGCCATATTAAATAAGTAAGTCCATACTGAAAAAAATTGGAGAGGTTCCTCTATTAGAAATTTGCAAGGATAGTATTAACAAAACTGGTCAAATTGGAGTGCTACTAAGAGAAAAAGTTAATTACAAGAAAAAGAGGTGGAATTCCAGATTACTGAAGGGCGAACAGCTGTGGCTATTCATAAACAAAGATAAGCCTGACTGAAGTGTTATGTTCGAGGAAGATGTCGTGGAAACATCTAGTCTTTGCAAACCTCGCTCTATTCTCAGCAACAATCAAAAAAAAAAAAAGAAAAAATTGTTAGAAAATAATACAGAACAGATCAAAAACATCTTCATTCTTTCATTATGTAAATCTATATGGGGTCCAGACCATAAATACTGTGAATTTCTTGTCAATAAATAGAAAATGGCAAGGATACTTAGAAGTGTGGAATTGCTTTAAAAAGAGGAAAAATTAGACTACAGCTTTGGTCTGTAGAGAAGGTAACTTGCAAGATATTAATGTCCACAAAGGGTATAAATAAATAGAAAATTATTACCATTTCTAATAACTCATTTTGATTTGTGTCCTTTTTTCTTACGTGGCAATATGTTGAAAATGAAAGTAAATGTTTTTCAGGTTGCGTACAGTCAAACTGTGAAACACATTGTCATGGTATCTTAGAAGCTAAGGGCATAAATAGAACCAAAATGTGAAGAAATGGCCATCGAATGCAGTTATTTTTGTCTCAGAAAAGCCTTATATCACGGATTGCTAGAAGGTGGGAGGATATAAACGGAGAGTGTTGTTATGGCAGTTCTTCCTTATGTTGTTTTGGTTTTCATCCCTCTCTGCCTGGAACAGGTGGCTGCTGGTGTTTATACTTCAGCTTTTGTGTGTGTAAAGCCTGAGGTACCCGGACATTCAGGTTGTTCTTTACCTGGCAAAGCTGGGCAGGTGAAAAACTCAGTGTCCACTGGGAGTATTGGATGTTTTTATCTGCCCTCTGCCCAGCACAGCCTCCCCTCAGCGCAGCACCCCGAGTGACCTTTGAGTCGGGTTACTGGCCCTGCTTGGAATTCGAAAAGATAACACTGTGGTAACTGTTTACAGACACGTATATGTAACATTTATAAACAGCAACGGGTAACAGCCTAAAAGAACTAGGAAGCATTTAATGATCAGTTACTGTGAGTCCAACTCGCCATGGTGAAGATCTGCATATCCAAGTCCTTCCAAGAGAGAAAGTCACAGGTGGGCATGTGGCTTATCTAACATGAAGTATCAGTTATTAGTTAAAAGCCCAGGCTCCTCTCGACCCTGAGCTTTATGTGTGGAAGCCCTTTCAGGATTTTCACAAGCAGTTCACATGGACTGTATATGGATTTATAAGAACTCGAGGAGCTGCACTGCGGGCGGAAGGTTCCAGGTCTGCCCTGTCAAAAACTGCAGGAGGAGCCAAGCGGCGTCGAAAGGCTGTCGAAAGATTGCAATTATGGAGGGGGAAATCTCGATCTTCTCCATCATCTCCTCCATCCCCGACCCCTCAGGCCGGGACCCCTGAGCGAGAACGAGGCTCCCGGGAGGGAGGGGGCGCTGCGGGCAGTGACGTCAGCGCAGGCACCGCCCCCGAGGGGAGGGGAACTTCCGGCCGCGAGCTCAAAGCCGGTCAGTCGGGCGAGCCGAGGCCGCGCCCACGCGGAAAAGGGCGGGGCCTCGGGGCCGCCTCGGGCCACATATACATAACGGCGGGGAGTGGGGCCCCGCGTGACGTCACGCGCGCGGCTTCCCGGCAGCCCCTTCGCACCCCCTATATAACCGGCGTCGCGAAGGGCCGCGCGCCACAGTGAGCGGCCCCCGTCAGCGGCCGCCCCGATCGTAACAACTCTTCGTCACCGCTTAATGACCTGGGATCCGCCTCGCCACCGCACCATCGCCATGCCCGGGTATGTCATGCGACAGGGACAAGAGGGTGAGTCGCGGGGCCCGGCCGGCGCCCAGCCGCCGCCAGCGTCCGGACTCTGAGCCTCGCCCGTGCGGGCTCCAGGGTTGTTTTTCAGCCGTTTAGAGAATGGCGGCGGGGGCGGGGGTTGGGACCCTGAGCTCCTTCCCGTCAGCGCTGCCGCCCGCGAGAGCCGGCGGGGGGAGGGACCGTGCTTTTTTAGTGGCCAACGCGAAGGTGGGCCGGCGGGGCGGTCCTGGGCTCGGTCTCCTCCTACCTCAGCGCAGCAGGCCGCGCCAGTCGTGAGACCCTCGCTGAGGGGGACGCGCGGCCGTGGCGCGGTGAGGGTATGGTTTTTAATTGGTGAATTTCTAGTGTTATTTTTTTTGTTTTTATGTTCGGGGAAGAAGTAACTGGCGACCGCGTCGACTCGTCGGGGACAGACCCACTCGAACACGGATGCCCGCAAGCCCGGTTCACCAGCCCGCGGCAGCGGCGGCGGCGGGAGGTTTGGTGTGGTCAGTGGGTTTGGCGTGTGCCGGAGGCCCCGGGGAAAATATAGCGGGAGCGTGCTCGGGCATGGCGGTCCCCTCGTTCCCTTCCCCCTCCCGAGGCTCGGGCTGTGTGCCGGCCAGGAGTCCGCGGCGTCCGGCTTTTGTGTTGTGTAAGCGGCATGTTAATGGCCGGCCCCGCCATGCGGTGGCTGAGGGGAATCAAAATGCCGGCTGTGCTGCTGCTGCCTTTGTTCCTCCTCCTCCTCCCCCCGCCCAGCCCCGGCTCTAAAATGGCAGCGGCTGGAAAATGTGGCGTAGACAGAAATGAGAGACAAAGGAAACAGCGCTGGCAGGAAGCAGCGGCCGCTCGGGGAGCGCTGTGTTGTGCTGGGAAGGATCTCGCTCCCGGCGGCCGCCCGGCCAAAATTGGGAAGCGATCGGGGCAGGGGAGGGAGCCCCGCGCTCGGATCCAGCGCACGGCTCCGAGCTGCGCCTCGGGGCGTCGGAGATCAGCATGCTTCCAACACAGGGACCGAACCTAAAATGCTAATAAAACGTATGGCCTTATCGTTGTTCAGAGAAGTGTGTCTTCTGGGATACAAAAAAAACGGTCTATGGCAAAGTTATCCCAGTGTTTCATAACTGCCCCTGCCCGCTTTCAGCAAAGGGAGTGTCACCGGGGTGGGAATCCATTTTGATCACGGGGTAATGCAAAGGTTTTATGGCCTTGCTTTACCTGTTGTAACTTGCCTTTCGATTGCATTTTCTGGAAAATGCAAAGACGTGTTACCTTAGCTTTTTAATAAGAATCGTAGCAAGGCAGGTTGTGGCATCTGCAGCTTAAAGTATGTTTTTTAAAGTTTCAGTATATTAAAGTAGGTAGGGATTATACATCCAGGTTGTAAAGTTACAGGGTGAACCACAAAAATGGTGGTTAACTGGTATAAGAAGACCAAAATGTTTCTCTTGGATTCTACATTACATTCTTTCTCCTTAGGTTTGGAGCCCCCCGTTTTGGAGGAAGTAGAGGTGGACCTCTGTCTGGAAAGAAATTTGGAAACCCTGGGGAAAAACTTACAAAAAAGAAATGGAATTTAGATGAGCTGCCCAAATTTGAGAAGAACTTCTATCAAGAACATCCTGATGTAGTTAGACGTACTCAGGTACGTACCTGATCTGACTCCAGCAAAA